CACACAGCAGCATAGCCATCGGTATTGCGCAGGACGGCGCATCTTCATGTTCTCTTATCAGCAGTGCTCCTGGTGATATGATCCCTCCAGCCCTTCTCGCTACTACTACCACCAGGAACGCGGCGACAGCGAGTTCCGCTCTCACTTGCGCCAATGCGAGCAGCGGCGGCGGTCGGCCGGCGGGTTTGCCGCGCGCGATGTCGATGGAACCGCTGCGGTTGGTAGCGAGAGGCAGTGCTGCTGGTGGTGATGCTCCGGATGACGCCAACGCTGCTTCTGCTTCTCCTGCTGCTCCTCCTGGTGCTGCCTGTGATCAGCAGGGGTTTGCGAGCAGCAGTGGTGGTGGTGAGGCAGGCAGATCGCAATTCCCCGTCCCTGTTGACACTCAACCCTCTCGGAACGGTGTCATTTCTGTTGTCCCCGGTACAAGCTGCACCACTTCTGGGCCAAACCGTCATTCGAACAATTTGGTGACATTTCAACCTAGCCCGAGCGTCAACTCGCTCCTCCTCACCCCCAAAAATACCCACTCGCCTCGCACCAGGTTCGCGCCCCGCGTCCCCCGCAGCGCACCGTTTCCGCATCCCCAACCGCAAGCGCATGCGCGCCCCATTGCGCACGCGCACGCGCAAGCGCAAGCGTATGCGCTCTCTCATTCTTCCGCGCACGCGCAGCCGGGGTATCCTCACCCCGGCCGCCATCCCGCGCGCCCGCCCTCTCGCATCCCCCGATCCGCCCCGCTTCCAGTTCCCGCCAATCACTCGCGCGGCCTTAGCCACTCCGCCGGTTCACCGCCCCCTTTCGCGGGGCTTCCGGCGCGATGCGGGGAGGCCCACGCGCCAAGAAAGCCCGTTGGCGCAGCAGGGGCAGCAGCAGCGGCGGTGGCGGCGGCGGCTGCGGCGGGGGGTGTATCCGCGGAGGGCTGGCGGAAGCTTCCGCTGCGCGGAATCGAGCGCGCGGCGAGCAGCGAAGCTGCATGGAGCCCGCGCGGGGGGATCCGCGCGGAGGGAGCGCCGAGCGCGCGTGTGGGCGGGGGTTTCGGTGGGGGAATGGGCGCAGTGGCTGGGGGAGGGATTTCAAAGTGCAATAGCGGGAACTGGGGCGACTCTTATGGCGGACGCGGGGTGAGCAGCGGGAGGGCGGGGAGCATGAGCGCAACTAGCAGCCCGAGGGGTAGAAACCTAATTAAATCCTTGGGGATGGTACGTAGTGACAGTTTGGGGACATGTATGAACAGTATCGGCGGTTTGGGAGGGCGTATGGAAGGTTCTTTGGATGGTAGTGGCATGGGCGGCGGTATGGGTGGGAGTATGAGCGGTGGTGGTGGGTTGGAGGGTGTGCTTGGTGGTGGCAGGTGGATTGCGACAGGTAGTTGCCCTGTCACGCCACAGTTTGCCATTCGAGCCTTTGATAGCCCACGTGGCAGGCCCCCATTGGCTCGGAATCCAGCCATTAGCCCCTCTCCTTCAAAGGAGGAGAGTGGGGGGAGCAACGGGGAAGTGAGTGGTGAAGGGGAGAGAGTGTTGGAGAGAGGCGGAGAGGAGGTGCGGCAGAGGGAGGGGGGTGTGGTGGAGAGGGCATGGTGGGTGGAAGGGGAGGTAAGGGAAGGGAACAGGGAGGAGAGTGGAGGGGTTAGGATGCAGTTACTGCAATGGAAGCAGGGGGAGAGTGGTGGTGTGGGATCGGGCATGGGGCGATTGAAGGAGACACAGAAGCAAGAGAGGGTAGTGGGGAGGAGGGGAGGGGAGGCAGAAGAGGGAGAGGAAGAGGAACAGGAGGGGGGTTATCAGAGCAGTAAGAAGGGGCGGGAGGGTGAGGAGGAGGAGGAGGAGGAGTTTGTTAGAGTGGCCGTTGATGGTGGTGGTCGTGACAAGCGTGGTGGGTATGGCAGGAGCAGAGGGAGCAGCAGCAGTGGTGGCGAGGCTGGCAAGAGCAGCAGCAGCAGCAGCGTGAGCATCTCCCTTGACCCAGCTGATACCACCAGTCACTACCTCAACACCACCACCACCAGCACCAGCACCAGCGCCAGCGCCAGTACCACCACCGGCAATGCCACAAACAGCAGCGGAGGTGCCAGCAGCACTCCCCCCGGCAGCAGCAGCATAGCAGCGCGGGGGCGGTCCAAGTCACTCGCGATGAGCTCTGTGGCAGCAGCAGCAAGGTGGAGAGCGCGTGCCATCGCCAGCGTGGTGGGGCATGCAGGCAGGCGTGTGCACACACCCGGCGCTGACCCACCTGCAGATGTGCACCGTGGGGGCGGGGAGGGTAGCGGGGGGAAAGAAGGGGAAGAACGGGAAAGGGAGCACGCGGTAGGGCGGCGAGAAGGAAGAGGTGGAGGAAGAGTAAGGGGAGGAGCAAGGAAGGAGGTTGCTGGCAGGAGATGGGAAGGTGGTGGGAGGTTAACATTGGGAATCGATGAGCACGTAAGTGGGGGAAGGGGCGGAGGGGAAGGGGCAGGGGGTGGAGGGCGAAGAGGGACAGTGGAGGAAAGTGAAGCGGGAGAGAAAGCTTTGCGTGTTGGGGTGAGCGGCAGCAGCAGCAGCAGCAGCGGTGGTGGCAGCAGGGGTGTGTGGATGGAGAGGTGGAAAGCAGCTGGACAGGTAGAGCTGGTGGATAGTCCCCGGCAGATCAGAGCCGGCTCGTGGACTGGTACAGAAGAGGGGAGGGGAGGTGCGGGTGAGGGAGATGGAGATGGAGGGAGAATCGGGGTATTAGGTGCCGCTGGTGGGGGTATGGGGGAAGGCAGGGGGCGGCTAGTGGGAGCTGGGAGGAGGGAGGGTGGCATGGTGGCAGGTAGGAGTGTGGCAGCAGGAGCGACAGATGGTGATGGAGGGATGATGGGTGGACATGCACGTGCACATGAACGTGCTGCAGCAATGGCTCCTTTCAGCAGCAAGAATGATGATGACAAGTCTTCCGCCAATGATGCCAGTGCCACTACCGCCGCCGTCGCTCCTGCTGCTGCAGTTGCTGCTGCTGGTGCTGATGGTGATGATGGTGGAGGAGTTCCCAGTGCTGATGTGACAGTTAAGAGTGAGTGGGAAAGCGGCATACCAGGTGTGTCTAATGTGCCAGACGAGCCTGTGGCGAGTGTGGGTACAGCGGCATCACTGGTTGGCACGGTACAGAAGGCATCGTCCCATGGTGGGCAGTTGACTGCTACTGAGAAAGACCAGTGTGACCAATCCGAGCAATCTCAGCAATCTGTGGTGCTGCGTATGGTGGGGGATGATGAAGCGGTAAGAGCACTGGTAGGGGAAGTGGCAGGGGCAAAGGAGGCCATGACAGATGCAGGAAGCAGGCATGTGGCTACACCCCGGACAGGTTGGGGCATGGGAGGACGCATACGGTCCCACCCGTCCCTCCCAGCATCACTGGCGCCATCACCATCATCATCATCACCGTCATCATCACCTTCGTCATTATCCTCTTCGCCATTGGTAGCAGCAGCAGCATCACCAGCATTTCCATCACCATCACCATTATCATCAGCATCAGCGTCTTCGTCATCATCCCATCCACAGCGCATGCTCAGAAAGGCACACTCTTTGATGCGGTCGCGATCGAAACCCCCGGCTGCCGTGCCTGCCAGCACTTCTTCTTCTACTTCTTCTTCTGCCACACCTCCTAGGAATGGCTCCCTTGCACACCTGCACTCCCTGCCCTCTGCTGCTCCCCTGTTGAAGTCACACTCTCAAACACCACACTCCCGAGAGTCAAGTTTCCAGCAGTCACGATCTGATGCGCTGCTGGGGATGCAGGAGCAGCAGGTGGGGTGTGAAGCAACGGATTGCCGTGACGCTGCCGCACACTCAAACGCAAACGCCGCTGCTTCTGCTGCTTCCCCTTCTGCTGCTGCTGTGAAGTCGACCCACAGGCGCGCTGGGAGCTTGAGGGAACGGGAGCTTATGAGTGGTGGGAGGGAGAGAAGGGGGCAGGAAGATAAAAGAGAGGGGATAGGGGAGCAAGCGGGAGAGCATGGGGAAAGAGGGAAGGAAGAGGAGGGTTTGGCGAAGCAGGGGAGGGTGGGGCTGGGAGGGGGACAGAAGGGACGGAGTGCACGTGTGGGAGCGAGTGTGTTGGAGAAAATTGGAAGGTTGGGAGGAGTGGGAAGGGTGGGTTGGGGGAGGGCGGGCGAGGGGGGAGGCAAGGTTGGGAAGAGGACGAAAGGGGTAAGCGAGAGGGAGGAGGAAGGGTTGGGTAGGGTTCTGAGTGGTGGAGTAAGTGAGAGTAGCGTGGTTTCTCATGGTGGGGTGATGGTGCAGGAACGAGAAGGAGCGATAGACAGAGAGGGAGAAGGAGAAGGAGAAAGAGCAGGAGCAGGAGAAGGGAAACGGGTGGTTGAAGGGGCAGTGGAAGGGCGGAAGAGTGGATGGAGTGGGAGGGAATGGGCGATTACAGGGAAGGGGGAGAGGAAGACTGGGCGAGGAGGGATGGTTGAGGGTAGCAGAAGAGAGGGTGTGGTGGGGGACGACGATGTGTTGTTTGGGAAGATGCAGAAGACCACACATGCGGTTGAGAGTGGTGTGGAAGGGTGCAGAGGAGACGACGGAGAGGTGATAGCAGGAGGAGTGGAGGGAGAAGAGCGAGGAGGAGAGAAGGGAGGTGGAGGAAGAGTGGGAGAGGAGGTGGTAGGCACAAGGCGGTCAGACAGTGGGGAGGTGGAGGAGAAGGGAAAGAGGAGGAAGGTGGCGCGGAAACAGCAGCAGCAGCAGCAGCAGCAGGAGCAGCAAGGAAGGGTGAGGTGGTACTTGCATGGGGATGCCAGGAGTAAAGCAGATGCACATAAAGCGGTAAGAAAAGAAGCAGACGATAGCAATGCGGAGAGGGAGAGGGAGAGAAAGGAATGGGAGGATGTGGAGATGGAGGAGGAGAGGGAGGAGGGTATATCTGTGGTCATTGCACGTATTGAAACGGGAGAGGTGGGGACAACAATCACCCATGTCGATACAAATGCTCTAGCTCAAGAAGCAGAAGGAGAAGGAGAAGGAGAAGGAGCAATGGAAGAGCAACAAGCAATTACTGAAAGGGGCACGGACGAGGCCGCACAACCGCCACTATCATCATCAGCGTCATCAGGAGCAGCAGCAGCAGCAGCAGCAGCAGCAGAGCCTACGAGCAACCGCAACAGCAGCAGTGCGAGTGCGAGTGCGTGTGTGTTGCTGCGGCCACACAGCGACGTGACAGAGTGGTACCTGGTGGGGCACAGGGAGGTGGGGCGCGGGCAGTTTGGCGTCATCCGGCCGTGTGTGGAGCGCAGCACGGGGCTTGTACTCGCGTGCAAGAGCATCCACAAGGACGGTGTCGTGCAGGTGCGTGCCTGGGCTCGTTTGTATTTTACCATTGGCTTGACGAATATGGGTCATCCGGCCGTGTGTGGAGCGCAGCACGGGGCTTGTACTGGCGTGCAAAAGCATCCACAAGGACGGAGTCGTGCAGGTGCGTTGGTCGCTAGGGGGGTTGCTGGCATGGGGACTGTGACACTCCAATTGTGAGGATGCACGTGCACCATCCGCAGTGAGGTACCCTTCGGAATTCCGAGTTCTCATGAGCAGCTCATTTTCTGCCCTGCCCTGCCCCTCCACCACATCCCTCCGCCCCGCACCCCCCCTTGCTCCACTTGCAGTCGGAGAGGGACGCACGGGCCATCCGCAGTGAGGTGCGCACCATGGCACGCGTGGGAGGCCACCCTGCTGTCGTGCACCTGCGCGGGGCGTTTGAGGACGCCAAGGTGAGCCATGTGGGGGAGGAAGAAGGGTGTTGGGGTGGTGGGATGGGATGCTGTGTGCCATGTCGTGTGTGTTGTGGGATGTCATGGCAAGACTCGTGTGGATGGGCACCCGGCTGTCGTGCACCTGCGGGGGCCCTTTGAAGATGCCAAGGTGAGCCATGTGGAACGGGTTGTTGGGATGCTTTGGGGTCTGTTTGATAGGGCGACGCGATCCATTCCCTCCCTACCTCCAACCCCAATCTCTTCCTCCCCCCCATCCCCTTTCCGAACCAACCAGAGCTTGCATCTGGTGATGGACCTGTGTGATGGGGCGACCTCTTCTTCCTCATCAATGCCCATTCCCTGCCGCTTGCCCCTTTTCCCCACCTTCCCGCTCCCTTTCCTCCCTCCCTCCCTCCAGAGCGTGCATCTGGTGATGGACCTGTGTGACGGCGGCGATCTCTTCGACCTAATCAAGGCCACGGGTCCACTACACGAGCGCACGGCGGCGCACATCTTCCGCCACCTGCTGCTCGCGCTGCACCACTGCCACACCTTAGGAGTCGTGCACCGGGACGTTAAACCCGAAAACATTCTCCTCGCTTCCCAGCCTGCCGCTGCTGCCGCGGCTGTTGCGCGGGATGTTGCTGCTGGTAGCGGTGGTGCTTCCGATGCTGCTGCTGCTGCTGTGGCGGCTGCTGCTGCTGCTGCAAGGAGACTCTCTGAATCCGCTCGCTGCAGTGGAGCCGATGAAACCGGCTAGTGCTTCGGGTGCTGATGCGGATGCGCTGCAGTGTGCGGGAGCAGTCAAGCTCACCGACTTTGGCGTCGCCACCTTCCTCCCCTCCGCTGGTGAGCCTTGCGTGCGTCTCCCGCCATTCACATCCCATTCTCCTCCTCTCCCTCGCCACAGCTCCCTTTCGCCCCTCACTCCTTTCGCCCCTCACTCCTTTCGCCCTCAACCGTTTCCCACCACCCCTTTCCCATCATTCCTCCCTCGCCCCTTCCACACCCACCCATCATTTTCCCCTCACCCCCACAGGCGAGGTGCTGCGAGTGCAGGAGCTAGTGGGAACCCCAGAGTACATGGCGCCAGAGGCGTGGCAGGGCGAGTACAGCCCCGCCTCCGACATGTGGGCTGCAGGGGTCGTGCTGCACGTGCTGCTCGCAGGAGTCCCGCCCTTCTGGGCCGCAGAGAAGGATGCGCTGGTGGCAGCGGTGCGGGGGAAGGACGTGGCGTTGAAGGGGCGAAGGTGGAGAGGGGTGTCGGGCGCGGCTAAGGATGTGGTGAAGCGGTTGCTGCGGAAGCAGGCTGGGGAGCGGCCCACTGCGAGCGACCTGCTAGGTGCGTGGGGTGGGGTGGGTGGGTGAGGTGGGGGGAGAAAGGGAGGGAGGGGGGTGGTGGGAGGGCTGTGGCTAGGTGCGTGGGGTGTTGCAGCACGCGGCTAAGGATGTGGTGAAGAAGTTGCTAAGGAAGCAGGCTGGGGAGCGGCCCACTGCAAGCGACCTGCTAGGTGCGTGAGGTAGTGGGGAAAGAGGGGGGACGGAGTGGGGGGGAGAGGGGAAAGAGTTGATGGGGTAGACATGGGAAGGGAACAGGGTGGAAGGGGAGGGCTGGAGGGGAGGGCTGGGGGAAGGGCTGGGTTGGGGGGGTACGAGATCTGTAAGAGCAGCAGCTCGAGATGATACTGTAACTTCCTGCGTGCGATAACCTGTAGCGTGCAATCTTCATCATCATGTGATGAGATACGGTAATAACCTTCAGCATCTCTCTGGGGAGGTGAGGGGAGCCATTGAGCCATGCGTTTCCGCTCATCATGCTGCATCGTTTCTTCTGCTCACCTCAACCTGCACCTCTGTTCTCCTGCCCATTTCCTGCCCACTTTTCTGTGTGTGTAATTCATGCTGCAGGTCACCCTTGGCTGCTATTCTAGCTCCTTACTGTTCCCTTGAAAACAAGACTACCATGTAGTACCTGCGTTTAAATATATAGACTAATAGCATAAATATATAAAGGTTAACATGACATGGTGTAGCATAAAGGACCATAGCTCAACAAGCCAACTGTCTATGCACAAATCAGGATCCCCATGCACAAGAAACAAACCAGAAGCATCTAATGAAGGGACAGCACAACATATTTACGGGTCAACACACCGGTACCGCACCAGCACACATACCCAGCACACACTCAGGACAGGTACGGTTGGCAATGCTTGGTTGAGCATGCATGCAGCGTTGCAGAGAGAAGAACAGCATCCCGGCCCAGTGCCATTGAGAGATGGAGATCAGTTGGGGGGGGTGGGGTGGAGTGGAGTGGAGTGGGCGCGTTGCATGGCCAGTTGGCCTCTCCAATCCGGCTCAGACTACATGCAGAGATCTGAGCCAGTTGGCCAGATCATGACTCATGCCCCTGCACATTGGCCACCACATGGCTCCCTCTCTCACACACAACCCCACCTTCAAAGTCTGGGTGCGCACGCACGCGCACACACAAACATGCACACTCTTAGGTGCACCCGCACACACACGCACACTCTATTCACGCAATAAAAACATGCACATTCACACACACATGCACAGACTCACTTATTCCAAAACGCCTCTTCCACCTCACCCCACGAGAGAATCTCTCCACAGCTCCCACGACCCGCTCCCTCCACATGCATGCAACTCCCTGTCATATCCACTCCATCCTGTCTCGATGCGCTCGCAGCAGCAACACCCACCGGTCACTCTGCATGTGCACTGTGCATGCGCACTCAACCCTTACTCTCCCACACACAGTACCCATCACCATATGTAACCACCCTGTACTCACTACTGCTCGGCAGCAGCCTCCCCATATCAAACTGCCACCCGATCTTCACCACTATCTTGCCCCCCTTCGCCCGCACACTCCCATTCCCCCCATCCTCCGCCGCACCATCTGCCCCTCCCTTCCCAGGGCCGATCTCAGCGACGTATAGGTTGGACTCTGCTGCGAGAATGCGGATGGGCGAGTCGGCTCTGATGCCATTGCGCTGCCGCACGGCTATGAGCTCCAGAATGGGCTTCTTTAGGCCCCACGTGAACACGTGGTCGTAGAACTGGGGGCGTGGTGGAGAGTGGAAGGGGTGACGGGGGACAAGGACAAGCAGGAGTGGGGGCCGGGGCTAAGAGTATGGAGAAGCGAAGTGCAAGCAGGTGGGAGAGATAGCAGAAGGAAAGTTCCAGCAGGAGGGGGAGGGGCAGGGCAAGAGTTCTCACAACGCAGGGCATGCCGGGGTGGGTGAGGATGTAGGCGTAGCCCTGCATGACCTTGTCGGCGGGGAACGGCCATGAGCCCTGTGTGCTGCCCGTGTCGTGGTTGTCTATGAACGTCACTGCACGCGCTGGCCAGTACCCTATCATACCTGCCAGGACCATCAAACACGAGAGTGGATGTGGCAGGCAGGGACCGTGGGGGTGAGAGGATGAGAGAGAGGTGGGATGAGCCTGCCAGGAAGAGATTAAATCGAAGCAGCGAAAGGCGAGAAGTACCATGTATAGTGCTGTAACTAGCACCGCCCATGCCACAGCACTTCAAGCACGGCACAGCACAGTACAGCCTTCACGCACATCTTCCCCGTCAAACCCCCCACATGTGGTGCCTGATGTGCACAACCCCCCACCGCCCCCCCCGCCCCCCATTTCCCACCATGTCCCGCTCACCTGGCGGCTTCCCCCCGCCCCCCATTTCCCACCATGTCCCGCTCACCTGGCGGCTTCCCCCCGCCGTCCTTAAGCCGCCACAGCTGCCCCTGCACGGCCTGCTGCAGGATCCCCTTGGTAGTAAAATCAAACGCAGCGCACACGCCCCCCGTGCCATCCACCCAGTCCACCAGCGCCTGCCTGTGCGCGTCCTGGTTCCACGCCAGCTGCCCATCCCCATCGTACCGCATCGCAGTCCACACCTCCCCCACTGCCAGCGTCGGTTCCGTCGCGCGGCAATACTTCCCCACAAACTCCGCGCCGTAGCCCTTGGCAAAGTCAAACCTCCACCCGTCAAACCCCACTTCCCTCTTCATCCACAGCAGCCAGTTGATCAAATCCCGCTGCACGCGCGCGTTCGTGTGATCTATATCCGGGGCAGCCCCATAATCCTCGCCCGTATCCGCCTTCCCGTCGCCCCCGTACGGCATGTCCCCGGCAGTAATCGCCCAGGGCCCCCAGTCGAGGCGTTCGTCGGGGGTGCCGCCCTCGAAGATGGTCCAGTTGCCGTGCGCGTCCTGGAAGTCCCCACAGCGGTGGTTGATGACAATGTCCGCCATGCACCGCACGTGGGCGGAGTGGAGTCGGCGGATTAGGCGCCGCAGGTGCACTTCGTCGCCGTACTTTGACGCGTCCAGGTTGTATAGCTGCGAGGGTAGGTAGCCTGGAGCGGAGAGGGGTGCGGGAGAGGAGTGAAGGGGAGGGGAGGTTAGAGAGGGGGGGAGGTGAAAGGTGGATTTGGAAGGGGCACGCAGGGAGAGAGTCCTGGAAGTCACCGCAGCGGTGGTTGATGACAATTTCCGCCATGCACCGCACGTGGGAGGAGTGCAGGCGCCGGATGAGGCGCCGCAGGTGGACTTCGTCGCCGTACTTTGACGCGTCCAGGTTGTATAGCTGCGAGGGTAGGTAGCCTGGAGCGGAGAGGGGGGGCGGGAAGAGGAGTGAGAAGGGTAGGATTGAGAAACAGTAAAAGGAGAGGCGGACGGACAATGCATGGCACGATACGTGAGATGGTGGTGGCATAGATGGTGGTGGTTTGGTTTCCGCCCCGTGACTTGCCCCGCGACTCGTACTCCACCCTGCAAGTTGCCTCGCACGCCATGGCCCATCCCCCTTCCCACGCCGCATGCTACATGCAGCAATGCCCATTCATTCCCCGCAAACAGCCACCGATTCTCAGCCCTTCCGTCGCAGCCCATGTCCGCCTGTAACATCCCCCCACCTCCACTGCCCCCGGTCCCCGCTCACCCTGTTTATCGACGGCCTTGGAGGGCGGCGGCAGCCACACGTCCGTGAAGCCCATGGCCGCCATCTCCGCTGCGCGCGCCATCAGCACGTCGTACCACACCTGCTTCTCGCCGCGCCAACTCTCCCAGTTGAACGCCTGCCCGCGGCGGGGCGAAGGACGGGGGGAAAAGAAAGCGGAAAGGTGAGGCCTTTCAAAGAAAAAAATGTTTTGAGACAAAGGCGGAAGCTGCAGAAACAGCAGCAGCTTACCCCGGGCCCTATTCTTTGTTTCAGCCGCCCTTCTTACCACCACCCCCATTCTCTCTCTTCCCCTCGCTTTCCCGTTTTAGTCGCATTACCTGGAGTAGAACCGCCTCCGTCGTGGGTGTGCGGATATTTCCGCCCTCGCTCTCTTCCTCCCCCACTTCCAGCTTCACCCCATTCACCGCCACAGTCGCGCCTTGCGCCGTGGGCTCTTCCGCCGCTTGCTGCTGCGCCAGTTCCTTCCGCGCGAGTAGCATGCTGTCGCTCATCCACTCCACTGCGCGCGGAAGTTGCAGCGCGCGCCGCCCGCGCACGGGGAGGACGGGGAGGCGGAGGGGCGGAGAGTGCGGAGTTAAGGGGCGGGCTTGGCGGAAGGAAGCGGACGTTGAGTCACCGCCGGTCAAAGCGCGAAGAGCACGTGGAGGACGAGGTAGCGGGGGACAAGGAGGGCAGAGGTCGAAGGGACGGGCGGCGGCGGTTGCGCAAGTGCGCGGAGAGGCAATGGTCCCTCCGCGGAAAACGAGCGCCGTGGTGGTCACCGCGGCCATTGCGCGAAGTTTCCAACGGAGGCGGGTTTGCAATATTATATCGTGAACCGAAATGCGTCGCGGGACGTACGCGGAATAAGAAGCGTGATTCTTGTTTGATGTGGCGAACAGAGTAAAATCAGGGTGTTGGAAGCTCCATCACCAGCGGACATGTACCGTGGTTACGCCTGGACGACTAAAGAAGCTCAGGTACGTCAGGTCTTGCTTGGGGAGGAATTCTGTTCTTGAAGTGGCTCGAGTTGGAGCCTTTTCATTTTGCCTCGGCCTGCTGCATTCCCGATTTGACAATGTGCCCCAGCGCGCGACTTCCGTTCCGCCCCCCATGGTTTGTTTGTGTATCTGACGTGACGTGCCATCGATAGTTGACGGAAACATTTGCTGCGGAGAACAAAACGAATCGAAGGAAACGGGAACACAAAAACAAATATGGAATTCAGTAGTATTGTAGAAGTATGCAGGTCAAAAATTACCCTCGTGAAAAAGCAGGGTGTACTGGTTAGCCCAAAATTTCAGCATGCCGTCCCTTTCAACACATTCGGGCAATATGTTGCCAGCGCAAGGCATGGAAACACGCAGCACCACGTCAGAAGCGTACGACGAAGCGTGGCATCGCTGTACACGTTGGATGCACATAGCTCAGCAACCATTATCCCCGATACTCATAAATGCAACTGATTGGGTGAGTTTATAAGTTTCCTTCCCTGGGTTATAAATATTGCATGAGACCAGCCAAAAGCTGAGTTATGGACAGAAAATATGGCTCATCATTACATTCTATGATTGGAACGTGGAAGTAAATCCTTACGTGTAATCTTGAAGTGGAGATGCAAAAATACGTAACAACAATCTTCCTCGTGAGACATGTCAGCAATTCAGCGTGTGCCTTTTTTGTTGCCAGAGTTCAAATTGGAGAACTTAACTCAAACGAGGCTGTTGTTGCTGAGTACCGTCGAAGCGCCGCTGCCTCGGCAGTCGCTCGCTGGGCATGGCTGGGACATGCAGCCCCTCCAACCTCGTCGGCCTTCGACGCGGTCGAGGCAAATCTCTCTCAGTATCCTTCCCTTACGAGCGTCATCAGTCATCAGGCACTACGGGGCCTTGGGTTTCAGAAGATCGAACATATATATCTGCCTAAATGCTCGCATTCTTCACTCCTGTGCTTTCGTTCCCTCTTAATGTTTGTCGGCCATGGCTTATCGCGTTCCCTCTTCTAGCGACATGCTTGATTCTTACGACTCCAAGTATTCTGACCTTGAGGATCGTGCGAGAAAATTGGTCACCCACGAAAACGATGAAGTTCGACAGGTTTGTGTGGAAGTGGCGAATCTGTGTGCAGCATACAAGTCGAAATTGTCTACAGGGTGCGTGCTCATGCAAGCGAAGTTGCAGGCGCTTCTGGAACTCGAAGCACCTGGTAAGCCATTGCACAGAGATTTTCGGCAGTTGCTTTTGGAGAGAGAGGAGCGTATTTGCTAATGGCGCTCTACGTACCCCAAGTGCTGAAGAGCTAGAAGACTTCTGTACCATTGGTGGAGAGATCTCGAAGGAGCTGAAGAGGTTGATCGAAGTTTCTGATGGCGTCAACAGGGATGCGAGGAAGCTTCATCTAAAGATATGTTTTACCGTAGTAAAGACGAGCAATCCAAGTTGAAAGAAGCCTCTCAACATGGTGCCAAGATAGCATCTGAGGTAATTTGTAGGCTATGCACTGTCAACCGCTAAATCCCTCATCCACATGGGCTCAGTGTCTGTGTATCTGTGTGCGCTTTCTTCACAGGAAGTAGATGCATGGAAATCAGCGAACTTGGGCCTGACATTGGCTCTGGCTGGCTTTCTTATGATTCCATTGTTACCAGTGTGCGTTGCTGAGGCCACGACAGTCGTAGCAGTTGCTTATGGAGGTACAGTACGTCAGTTGAGTTGCTTGCTTCTCTTCACGGTTCTGGTTCTCTATTCTCTAACCTGTCACTTTCTTTGACATGTGTTGCAAGCGCTCCAGGTTTGGATGTATCTAAACACTTCACAAGCAAGGCTGAAGCCGAGTTAAACAAAAAAATAGAAGATGCTAAAGCAGAGAAGCCAGTTGTTGCAGCCCCAGTCTCCCAGGGCCTTGACAGTGTAAGCATAGCCAGCACCCCAGTTGCATATCCATGCCAGTGCAACTGAACTTCTCGTTACGCTCATGTGTGATTCAGCTGGGTTGTTACCTCCAAGCAATGAAGGATGTACTGGACGAGCTGCTGATCAGTGTGCGAACGAACAAGAATTACCAAGCTTCCTTGCTGAGGAGGCAGTTGAATCATTTGGCGTGTCGTCTGAGTCGGTCATGAAGGGGAGGTTGTTGTCATGTCGGAAGTTCTTGTACATAATCTTACTGTTTACCTGTAGTGTTGAGCATCATTGTTACTTCACGTGCAATTAGAAAACGCTAAATTCAAACCGCCGAGTCTGTGAGAGTTGAAACAGCTCCAAACTTGCATGAAGAAGAGGATCCGAAGATGCCAAATGAGACTGTAAGCACTGTTCTGCATCTCTTCTTTCTGCAACCTCACCCCAGCACTCCGATCTACCCATTTGATATTGTGAAGAATTGATATTTGGCTTTCAGCAGTGCCAAAGTTCAAGTTCCCTCCCAGCTCACCACCAGCTTTTGCCACCTTCAATGCTTCATTCTCCAAGATGACTAGAGTGGCACTTGTAAGCTCCATGTCACCCACTGAGAATGATTGTGCTCCCCTCACTTTGAGTGCTCCCTGTTCCCCCGCCTCACCCTGTTTATCGACGGCCTTGGAGGGCGGCGGCAGCCACACGTCCGTGAAGCCCATGGCCGCCATCTCCACCACTTTCGCCATCAGCACGTCGTACCACACCTGCTTCTCGCCGCGCCAGCTCTCCCAGTTGAACGCCTGCCGCGGCCAGGGGAAAGGGCGCGGGAAAGGGGAACGGAAATGAGGAGCCTTTCAAGAACAAAGTGATTCAGACAAAGGCGGTAGCTGTAGCAGCAGAAACCTACCCCACATTCTTCAGTTTCTTCAACCGCCCTTCTTTCCCCCTCTTCACTCTCTCCCCCCCCGGTTTCCCGTTTCAGTAGTATCATCACCTGCAGCAGAACCGCCTCCGTCGTGGGTGTGCGGATATTTCCGCCCTCGCTCTCTTCCTCCCCCACTTCCAGCTTCTCCCCATTCACCGTCATCGTCGCGCCTTGCGCCGTGGGCCCTTCCGCCGCTTGCTGCTGCGCCAGCTCCTTCCGCGCAAGCAGCATGCTGTCGCTCATCCACTCCACCGCGCGCAGAAGTTGCAGCGCCCGCCGCCCACGTGCGGGGAGGACGGGGAGGCGGAGGGGCGGAGAGTGCGGGATTAAAGGGCGGGCTTGGCGGAAGGAAGCGGGCGTTGAGTCTCCGCCAGTCAAAGCGCGAAGAGTACGCGGAGGACGATGTAGCGGAGGACAAAGAGGTCTAAGGTTGAAGGGATGGGCTGCGGCGGTTGCGCAAGTGCGCGGAGAGGCAATGGTTCCTCCGCGGAGAACGAGTGCCGTGGTGGTCACCGCGGCCATTGCGCGATGTTTCCAACAAGCGGCTGCGTTACGGAGACGGGATGCGATAGTCTACTGTGAACAAAAAATGCGGAAAAAAACGTTCTTCTTGTTTGATGTGTCACGGTATTGGAAGCTCCATAAGCCGCGGACACGTACCGTCCTTATGTCGTGTGACTAATAAAATGCAAAACTTCAACAAAGAAGCCCGAAGATGTCAGGTCTTCCCAATGTATGTTGAGTTTGGTAGACGAATGCTCTCTGCTATTCTTGAACTAGCTCGAGTTGAAATTTTATTCATCGCAAGCACCTCGCCGACTACTGCTTTTCCAATTTGACATTGTGCCCCTCCTCGAACGAAATTGGCCCCCCAGCTAGCTTTGCTTCCGCCAGTTACTTTTCCGCCAGCGTGCGATTTCCATTCCGCCCCCCCTGGTTTGTGTACCTGACGTGTCATCGAGACTTGATGGAAACATCTGCTGCGGATACCAATACGAATCGAAGAAAACAGGAACACAATAAATTGTAGGATTCAGTGGCAGGTCAAATTATATCCCTCGTAAATAAACATACAGAGTGTACCCGTTAGCCCTTTATTTCAAGGTGCCGTCTCTTTCAAAACATTCGGGCAGCATGATGCCAGCGCAAGGCATGGAAACACGCAGCACCACGTCAGAAGCGTACGATTAAGCGTGGCATCGCTGTACACGTGGATACACGTAATAGCGTGACAGCGCTACAATCTTGTATCCCCGATCAGTTTATGTAGTCTACACATTTTTCCTAAAGCCATTGTTCGGGTGAGTATGAGAGTTTCCTTCCTCAGCTTATATATATTGCAAGTGAGCATAAGCATCATATGGTGACCTCAGAAAGGAAGTTTGTGTTGAATCAGCATAACATTTGGAAAACAAGCCCTTCTACTCAGTGGTTGCACAAATACGTAACTTAATGATTCAGCAAGACCCGTAAGCAAAATAGTGTTCTTCTTTAGCTGCCAGAGTACGAGAAGCGAAAACCTCCATTTCAAACGAGACTGTTTTTGCTGAGTACCATCGGACCGCTGTTTCGACGGTCACTCACTCGACATTGACATGATCAAGAAGGCTAGGACATGCAGCCTTCCCTGACCCGTCAGGCTTCGACAAAATCGAGGCAGAGCCTCTGCCTTTTTTTCCTGGCGTCAACAGTCATCCGGTACAACGGGGGCTTGGGTTTCAACACAGCATGTCCGCCTAAATTCTCGCATTCTTCAGTTGCTGTTGCTTTCAAAACGAGCTGTCTCTCCTCCTTGTATTCGTCGGCCATGGCTCCTCCCGTCTCTTTGATTAGCAAATTGCTTGTTTTTTGCGACTCGAAGTCTTCCGAACTTGAGAAGTGTGCGAGAGACCTGGTCGTACACGAAAACGATGAAGTTCGACAGGTTTGCCTTGATGCAGCGAATCTGTGTGCAAAATACAAGTTGAACCTGACAGAGTGCACTCGCATTCAAGCGAAGTTGCAGACGCTACCGGAACTCGAAGTACCTGGTAAGCTATTGAAGTTTTTTTTTTTCCGCCGGCTTCTTTGAAGATGATGTTCTTTGAGCTAATGGCACGCTGCTTCCCCCAGGTGGTCAGGAGCTGGAAGCTTTCTGTGCCATCGGTGGCGAGACCTTGGAGGAGCTGAGAGAATTTAAGGAAATTTCTGATAGTGTTTGCAGGGACGCAAAGGAACTTCATCTAAATATATGTTTCCTCAAAGACAAAGAATCCAAGTCGAAGAAAGACTCCCAACATTGCTGCGATCAGAAAGCTGAGGTAAAACATAATATGTGCACTGTCAGTTTTTGTATTCCTTTTTTCACACGCGCTCACTCGGTTTTTTCTTGCACAGGAAATAGCCACAGCTAAAAGAGTGGACACGGCTCTTACATTTGCTTTGGCTGGATGTGTAGTCGTTGCAATCCCATTGTTTGTGTATGGTGCTACGTTTCTGGGAAGTGCAGCTTGCATCGGAGGTACAGTACCACATTACTCTAATCATTCTTTTCCACCTCAAAAATTTCCACTCAGTAACCTATTGCTCTCTGGCAGGTGCTGTCAGCGCTGGAGGGAAAGGTGTGCAAAATCACTTCACTAGCCAGGCTGAAGCTGAGTTGAAGAAGAAAAGAGAAGATTCTGCGAAAGCAGAGAAATCTGTGGTTGCCTACACACGCCTTGACTTCTCTGCAGATCCGTTCTCCAAAGGACTTGACAAGGTGAGCATGGTCAGCTCAGCACATCATCTTGCATGGCAATGGCCCGGCTGGTGAAATTGATCAACTGGTGGTAACTTCGTTTGCATTTCAGCTTGATGGGCACCTTCGTGCACTGGAGGACATACTGGCCAGCCTGCTGACAAGTGTGGCAAGAAACGAATTTCACCAAGTTTTTTCACTGAGGAAGAAGCTGGATAAGGAGCTATCTTCCAGTTAGGTCATAAAGGGAAGGCTGCAGTTAGCTCTAGTCCCGTTACGGAACTACCGTAGTTAACTTGTCACGTCCACATGAAGACAGACTTGATTGTAACTAAAAAGCACTAAATTCAAACCGCTGAGTTTGTGAAAGCTGCAACAGCTCCAAGCTTGCATGAAGAAGCGGATCTGAAGATGCCAAAAGAGATTGCAGGCAATGTTCTGCATCTCTCCTTTCCGCAATCTCACCTCGGCACTCCACTCCACCCATCTGATCGTGCGAAGAATTGTGCAGGCTTTCAGCAGTGCCAGGGTCCAAGCTCCCTTCCAGCTCACCACCAGCTTTTGTCACCTTCAATGCTTCATTCCGCAAAATGACAAGAGTGGCACCCGTAAGCTCCATATCACCCACTGATAGTGACGGTGCGTGCCACAGAAGCATCTTTAACGTCGGGAGCGGGGTGCGAGGGGAGTAGGGATTGGAATGCTCCCCAGATGCATTTTCCGCTTCCGCTTTGCGTAAACAAGCCAGCTGCAACACAAAAGAGTTGGACAAAATCAGAGACAAGCTGGCTCACAGAGACCACAGACACAATAGCAGAGTCCCCATACACTCCCCATGCACTCTCCATACCTGTTCAGGTCCAAGTGAGAGGCTGCCTTGGCCTTGCAAGTCAGCAATGGCCACCTGCCTCAGCTCCGGCAGGTGCCTTGCAATGCGCCTCAGCAGCTCATGCCGTGCCGAGGCCGCCACAGCAGCACTGATGGTCCATGCAATGCGCTCCTTGAGACCGTTTGGTGTCAGGCGGATGGGGGGAGGGCGGAATGGCTGACGCCGGGCCGATGAGGTGGGGAAGCAGGACGATGTGGGGGACGTTGGGGTTGGATATCGGATCGACGCGGATGGGAGAGAAGGCGTGGAATGGGGATATGGTGATGGGCGCCGTGATGGGCCTGGGCTTGGGGCTGTGGATGCAGCAGCATGCACTTGGGTGAGGAAAGGAGGCCGATGGTTATTGAAGCTACTGCTCCCACTGTTGCTCCCACTGTTGCTACTACTGCTGATGCGGCTTTCACTGGCGCTGCTCCGACGGCTTGTATCAGAAGCATAGCGACCAGAGGAAGGGCTTCCGCTTTGGTTATGCCCACCATTGCCCTTGCTGCAGTCATCAGCAAGAGCACTCTGATGGACACAGTGACCTGCAGTGTTAGTGTTACTACTAACAGAGGAGGATGCAGCTCCCCTGTCACTGGCGTTGGAAGTACTCCTTCTGAGGGCTTCTACAAGGTCAGTTGGCCTGCTGTGATCCAAGTAACGGCTATCCGTGCAGGTAGTGCCTCCATCCCCTGTGGTGCTAACAGTGCTACTACTTGCAGAGGCACCTGTGCTGGTCATCTCGCTGTTGCTGCTGCCAAGGCCAGTGCTGTCGCTGGTGCTGCTCCTGTCTGCATTGTCTGCCGCAGTGTCTCCACTAGACTGGACAGGACCAGCTGTGTCGGTGCCACTGGCCTGACTATGCCCATTACCACTAATGCTGCCACCACTGCCACTGCTGCCGCCATTACCGCTGCTGCTCCCACTCCCATTCCCACTGCCTCTGCCATTGTCACTGCGGCTTGCACCATGAACTAAAGAAGCTGCACGGCCCCTGCTAGCAGCCAGCAGGCGAGCCATGGAGGAGAGAGAGCGAGCCGGGACAGGAGGCGGCATCCCAACGGCTGGACGCTCATTCCGATTCGGCTGTTGGGAGGAGGAATCTGTAATGTCTACCACCCGGGAGAAGCCCAGTCTGGCCACAATGCACCCGCCCTGCTGCTCCACCTGCCCTGCGTTTCCTCTATCACCGGATTCCACCACAGAGTTTCTCCGAAGCTCCACCTTCTCTTTCCCCTTTCCCTTGTCCCGTCCCTTTCCACGGTCGGCCCCGCGCTGCTGCCTGTTCCCTACCCGCCTTCCTGCTGAACCAGCGTCTCCCTGCGCGTTCTCGTGGCAGGGAGACGATGGGGAAGTCCCATTGCAGTGCTCGGAGGGATGAGAGGGCGAGGAGGAGCCTGGAGAAAAGGAGGAAGGAGAGGTGTGAGTTGTGGTGGCGGTGGATTGGGACGTGCTGGTGCTGGCAGCAGCAGTGGTGGTGGTTTGTCTGGGTGAGGACGTGGTAGCAGCAGCAGACACCCAGTCCCACAGGGGCGCCCAGAGGGGGGGTTGCGAGGAGGAGCGAGAGAGAGAGGGGACACGTGAAGGCCGGCGGTTTGACAGGGATGTATCTTGGTGGGGGCATGAGAGAGGCGGAGGAGGAGGGGGGGCGGGAGAAGTGGGAGGGGGGGGAGCAGGTGGAGTGGAAGGAGGAGGGGAGTGAGAAGCAGGAGTGGAAGGGGGAGGGGAGGCGGATGAGGTGGGGGCGGAAGACGTGGGCGAGGGAAGATGAGGGATGGGGGTGGGATCGGAGAGGAGGGAGATGGAGTCAGCTGCAACGATGGCGCAGGAGGAGAGCGTTTCGTTGAAATCTGCGTACCAATGCAGCGATGCCTCTCGGTCGAGAGAGAACTCGCAATCTGGGATGAGATGGGATGGGATGGTAGAGTTGCACGCACGGACGCACGGGACGCAGGGAGGGAACGGAGGGAAGAGAGGGGCGGGAGAGGAGGGAGGGAGGGAAGGGACGAAAGGGATGGGATGCATGCAGGGATTGAAGGCACACGGGACGCGGAGGAGACATTGAGCAAGGGGGAACGACCGGGGGGGGGGAGGGGGAAGTGGAGTGGGAGGGAGGGGAAGGGCGTGAGAGAGGAAAGTGGGGAGGGCGAGGGGAATGGGACGGGGAAGGGAGATGGAGAGGCAGGTGCCTGGGGGTGGGGGTGGGTGTGAGGGTGAGGGTGGGGGTTGGGGGTGGGGTGGCTAGAGGCGGGACCTGGGAGCACGATGAGCAGCTCCTGCAGCAAGGGGAAGCGCCGCACCACGTCCTCCACATCGAAGCACTGCTGCTGCCGCCGCTGCCGCCGCTGCTGCGCCTGCGCCAGCTGAGGCGGACCGTCCGACCTCCCGCTCCCGCTGCTCCTCCCCTCGTCGTCCTCCCGCTGCTGCTGCTCGCAATGGCGCGAAGGAGGCACGGAGAAACACGAGCATGCAAGGGAAGAGCATGAGACCGCAACGGCGGTAAGCAGCAGAGTGTCGTGGAAGTGAACAGCGGAAGAACAAGCCTAGAGACGCGTCTCAAAGCTCAGCTCTGCGAGTGAGCAGCAGGCGCTGGCTCAAAAATCCCTCAGAATCAAGTTCACTGGTAGCCAATGAGAGACAGAGAGAGAGAGAGAGAGAGAGAGAGAGAGAGAGAGAGAGAGAGAGAGAGAGAGAGAGAGAGAGAGAGAGAGAGAGAGAGAGAGAGAGAGAGAGAGTACGCGCGCACGCGCTTCTCGTTCTCTCACCTGGAAGGATCGCAGAAGGCTGGCCATGGCGCTCTTTAGCTGAGTCATGGCCTTGCCCTTCCCGGCCGCGGAAGAGGCGGAGGACGACGAAGAAGAAGAGGAATAGGAAGAGGAAGAAGAAGAGGCGGACGCGGGTCCTGTAGTGTCGGCCGCCGCTCCCGCCTTTAGAAGATTGTCGACGGATACCACAGCCGTGCTGACACGTGGCACACAGGCGCGCAGCCGACGGCAAGATGCAGCGCACGCGCCGAGCGCTGCATGGGACGACCGGAGGATTGTAAAGAGCGACGGCGAAATTTGGATTAGGAAAGCGCGGGGTGAGCGGCAAAGCGGGGAGCGGTTGGGATGGAGAGTGAAAGAACGGGAGTTGGGTGTGCGTGCACGTGAAAACGGCGCGTGAAATGCATGTTACGGCGACAATTCCGTGAGGCTTACACTTGACGTCGCCGACTCGATTCAAAATGACAAGAATGACGTCATCCGGAAGGTCGCTAAGGGAAGGCACGTCCTCCGTACTCATGGCAGCCAAAAGCAGAACGAAACTGGAGTCGCCGCGATAGGTAACGCGAAGCAATTATGCAAGTCTTGGCGATAAAAGCTGGAAATTTGAGAGGAAGATCGGGCGAGTTGGATGGGTATAATAATACTGCAGCCGTCGGAACGGCAAACCGAATAACTACTACTGGGCCGGCATGATGTGGTCAATCACCTGACCTGAGCGTGCGGCGCTTAGGGAAAACGAGCGGAGGACGAGGCGAGACTATACACGAGCAGAAAGAATTGCCTGGTAAAAACAGGATTGCAGTTGGGCATGGTGGGGGAATATGGGCGGCGGAAGAAACCGCTGGGAGCGAAGCGGATGTGCGGAAGAGTGACGGAAGTTACTGGGAGCTGGGGGAGGAATTGGGGGAATTTTTTGTGTGGCGGAAATGGTTGGCGGCTTGGACGGTGCGAAGAAAGATCTTGAATGCGTGTTGTAGTTTTCGCATGCCCCATATAATGCCCGAGCCGAGTCCGAACCTGCAACACCGCTTTTCGGTTGACAGACAAAAGCGAAATGCTCAAAGCCTTCGCTAGTCTTCATGAGTTCGCCACGAGCAATTTGTGACTGTACTGGGGAAGGCAACGATTGTATGCCGAGGCGAATCCGTCATCGCTAACACGCACTCATAACGCAACTTTCCTTACCGCATACGTGCCCGTGAAATCCCAAGGGTTTGTCTGCTGGCCGTATCGCAGGACAATCCGTCAAAACGGCCTTGACTGACTGACTGGCAGGTCGCGTCGCAGTGCATGGCGCTGGCGATTAGCGAGCCTAGCACCATGAACAAAGCAGCTAGTCATGATTACGCATCGCCGTTCTTGTGTCAGCACCATCTATTATAGCACCGCAAGCATCGCGTTCGCTGCAGCATGTCCCGTGTCAACATACCTAGTAGTACGATTGCACCATATTGCATAGCCCATCCTCCATCACTCGTTGTTGCATGATTCTCCTCATCTTGGTAACATCACGGGTCATAGCTCCTCCTCCTACTCCATCGCTCGGATGATTCCTTCCCAACAAGCCGACGCGTCCCCTCCGCCTGTTAATCGGTTGTTAGTCTCTACCTTCCTTGCCTCGCACGCTATTCGAGCCATTCCTTTTTAGAACCTAAATAACCCTGGACAATGGAAAACCGGTTTTAGCCCCTAGTTTCCTAGATCTCACCGCCTCACGAGACGGAACTGTGGCACGGGCCGTTAGAAGCATGCCTCGTGCGAAATTTAGTCGCATCGTCTGATACACGCTTCGCACGCATCCTCGCTCGTTGCTGTCGATCCCGCCATGACGAACCATGCGGAGAACTTTCCGCATTCGCAAGCCCACCTCCCCGCTTCCTCCGCCTCTCCTACGCCACCGCAACAGATCTCCGCCGATCAGCTAACTGCGCAAGTGCAAGCGCAGCCGCAATCGCAGCCGCAGTCGCAGCCGCAAGCGCAAGCGCAGGCGCAGGCGCATGCGGCATCGACCATGGATTTGCGCGTGCGCCTGCTGAACGGCGCGGTGCAGCCCGTGCGCGTGCCACGTGGCATCACCATCCACAAGCTGCGCGCTGAACTGCAAACCCGCGGGCTCATCCCGCCCAACCTCCCCGCGCGGGACGTGCGCCTTATCCACGTCCCCTTCTCCGCGGCTCCCCCGGCGGCTGGCCGTTCGGGGGAAGCTGCGGGGCCATCGTCGGAAGAGAGGCGGACGAGCGGGAAGGAGGTGGCGGAAGCGAGCGGTTACCTGGGGGGGGTTGGGGGAAGTCGGGCAAAGGTCCTTTCGTCGAAGCTTCTAACAGTTGGAGAGTGTGGTGTGGATAGTGGCGGTGAGTGTGCGCGTGGCGAGAATGGCGGATTAAAGACATGGACTGTGATGTGATGTGATTTGATACAGTGTGCAGGGTAGGTGTGCGGGGAAAGCGGGTTGCAGTGCTGGGGTTGGGGCTTGGGCGTGTAGGGGCACGTGGTCGATCAAATTAAGCCCGAAACGTCATATTGATGACTCGTTTCAGGCCACACTCTCTTCCACAAAAGAGGACCGTTTTAGGCGGAGGGACCATCATGGTGTGCTGATGTGTGCATGGGAGAAATTTCAAAACCTCATGTCTTGCTCGCTCCTTCTCGTCCATCTTGTCCGATCCAGTCCCCCCCTCCAGTCCCGCGTTCACCTTCCGAACCGTTACCCTCGAATCAAGCCATTCCCCTCCCTTTCTCCTCCCTCGTGCGCCATTCGTCTTCTTCCCCCTTCCCTCCCTCCCCCTTCCCTCTCCCTTCCCCCTCCCTCCCCCCCCCCCCTTCCCCTCTCCGCCCCCCTCTTCCCCCTCTCTCCACACACCTTCCCCCTCTCCGCCCCCTCTTCCCCATCCCTCCCCGTCGTATGCAGACACTCTCGTTATCACCCGCATCCGGGCGCCGACACCATGCCAGCTGGCAGCTCCTGATTCGTCCGCGGAGACAGCAGCAGCAGCAGCAGCAGCAGAGGCGATTCCGACAAGGGAGAGCATAGACCGGGCCATTGAAGCAGAGTGCGCGAGGAGAGGCGTTCCGCTGCCTCCCCCCCCTCCTGCTGCCAGCACCGGGCTTGGATTGCATACCACCACAGCCGCCGCTGCTGCCGCTGCTATAGCTGCAGCAGTAAGCCTAAAGAAAACAGCAAACTCAACCTCCATCCACCCTTTTATCTCTCTTTCCGTCGATCCGCGCTGCCTCGCCTGCCTGTTTACCCCTCCATCTCCCCCCCCACCATCTCCCCCCACCATCTCCTCTCCCCCCACCATCTCCCCCCACCATCTCGCCCCTCCATGTCCACGCTCCCCGAGTCCTTGTGGTGGCACATCTGGTGCTGGTCTCTGTTCTTATGGCACCTTAATAACAAGCCCATACTTTCCTCCGGATCCCCCCCAAAACCCCCGTGCCCCCCCATGGCCCCCAGCAGCAGCGGGTGCGTGTGGTGGCAGACCCGGTGCTGGTGGATCGCCTGGCAGAGATGGGCTTTCCGCGCCTCATGGCCTGCCACGCCCTGCAGCTGCACCGGTCCGTGCTCCCTACCCTCCTGCCCACCCGCCCACGCTTGCGCCACTCACAACCCATGCATGCGTCAGCCTGGGTGTCGAGCTGTTTGGATGCCTGGGTGCCTTGTTAGAAAATTCTGTCGACCTGTAAGCTGGCTCCCGATCGATGTACCAAAATTCTTTCGCTCACCTCCCGCTTGTTCGTGCCCACCCTGCCTCTCCACACTTGCCCTGCTTGATCCCCATTCCCACATAAAGCCCCGTCTCTTCCCCAACCCCCATCCCGATTTCCCACCATCCCGCGATCCACCTCCCCGTGCTCTTCCCTGTCCTCCTTTCCATCCCCGCTTCTGCCCCACTCTGCTCGCCCTCGCCCCCCGGCCTGGCGCCTTCCCCCGTGGCATGAGCAGCAACCGCGTGGCAGCAGCAATAGAGTGGCTGATAGAGAACCCAGACGCGGAGGAGCAGGTGCTGCAGGCAGAGTCAGCCGCTGCTGCTGATGCACCGGCAGCACCTGCTGCGCCCGCTGGGCCGGGGGGACGGGGTGGGGAAGCGGGTGGGGGAGGTGCAGCAGGAGAAGCAGGGACGGCTGGGGCAGCAGGAGCAGCAGGAGCAGCAGCAGGAGCAGCAGGAGCAGGGGGGATGGAGTAGGGGCGGGTGGAGGAGGGGATGAAGGAGGAAGGGGGGCGGCAGCAGGAGATTCTGCCAGTGGGGATGGCACAAGGGTTTCTGTAAGTGCTGGTGGTGCAGGAGCTAGCGCTGGTGCTACTGGTGCTGCCGAAGGTGATGCTGGTGCTGCTGACAGTGGTGCTGCTGGTGGTGCTGGTGGTGCTGCTGCTGCTGGTGGTGAGGGTGCTGGGGTAGCAGCTGGGAGTAGCGAAGCCCTGCCTGCAGTCAGAGCAGGAGAGGCAACCGGAATGGATATACCGTCTTTCACAACAGTGGAAGCAAGTGGAGGGATGATGGGTTCAGGGGTGAGTGGCGAGCTGGGAGCAGCAGCACCAGCAGGGGAAGCAGGAGCAGGGGTAGTGGCAGGGGCAGCAGCAGGAGCGGATGTAGCCATGGGTGTGGCAGCAGCAGCAGCAGCAGTGCAAGGGGGAGTGCGTGCAGGGACAGGGGAGGCGCCGGCGGCTGCGTTGGGGGGCTCTCAGGCGCCGTTACAGGAGGGCCTGCCTCCTGAGTTGAGAGAGGCGTGGGCTCAGATTGCAGGCATGCATGTGAGTGAGTTTTATCATGCATGCGCTCACTACGTTTATTCCACTTTTATCATCAAGAAAGTGATTATTTTCTGCGGACTTCCTAAGAAAGCCGTCACGCCACCACAGCCATCATCTGCACATGCGTTCCCGCAATCCCAATGCCAATCCCCTCGTCATCCCACTCTGGTGAGCCCATCGAGTCGCCCCCGTGGCCTCCCGTAGTGTTCTCATGCGTACTCTCCCTGTCTCCCCCATTTCCCTCCATGCTACATCACCCACCTATCGTCATCGGTCCCCTGTAACGTCCTCAGGATGAGCGGTCAGTGCGTGCATGGAACCGAATGATGGCTCTACAGACCATCATGGGTGCATCTGGCTCAACCTCCCCTTCTCACCTCTCCTCCTCCTCCTCCTCCTCCTCCTCTGCCTCCGCACGACCCGTTTGGGGTTGGGGTGGAGGGTGGCGAGGGAGGGGAGGAGGAGGCGATGGATGTGGAGGGGGCTGCTTTGTGGGCCATGGCCAATGAGATGCTTCGCCACGGGCTGACTAACCCGCGGGTTCGGCAGGGTGAGTGAGTCTAGGCTTGATAGGGTTTATGCAAACTGCAGGAAATGGGAGGGAGGGGGGGAGGAGGCGATGGATGTAGAAGGTGCTGCTTTGGGGGCCTTGGCAAATGAGATGCCTCGCCATGGGCTCACAAACCTGTGGGTTCGACAGGGTGAGCTTTGATTTGACAGGGTTTATGCCAACTGCAAGAAGAGTCGTGGGATGAAAGCGGGGAGTGGAGGAGGGGAGGGGGGGGCTGGGGGGGAGAGAGCGAGGGGGTGAAAGAGGAGGGGGGAGGGGAGAGGGGCCTGGCTGTTGCTGTAGGCATGTTCATGAGTTCATAGTGTATTTGTTCATGAGAGCAGCCTGGCTGTTGCTGCACATCAGCTCTGTGTCCGTTTTCATGATGTATTTGTTCTTGACCGTTTTCCCTCCTCCATGGTCTCTTCGCCTGTTGCTCCCATTCCATTCCCCTCTCCGTGTGTCTGTGTGTGTGTGTGTGTGTGTGTGCGCGTGCGTTGTGGAGCAGCGATCAGTGACATGCAGGACAACCCGCATGCCATTTACTCATTCCTCAACGATGCAGAGGTACCACGAGTACTCAATCCGAGGTTTTCCCCCGCTTTTGGTATTTTCTTCTGTCTCTCTTGCTCTCCCTCCCCCATTCTTTCTCTTGCCCCTACCTCTTGAACTGTTGCCTCTTTTATTCCCCCTCCTGCGCTTTGGTGTGTGTCTCCCTGTTCTCTTGTTGCTTGCATACGTATGCTGCTTGGTGTGTGTCACAGGTTGGGCCAATCTTGGAAAGTTTTGTCCGAGCGGCTGGTGCTAGTGCCATGTCGCCTCCTTGAGCTTCAGATTAGTGGCTCACTTGTATGTTGTCCAAAGTTATAACGCTGTTTTTTGGGCGTTTTTAAAACCGAAATGTAAAATAGTGAACCCGGGGCCAGCTTGAAAGAGGGCTTGTCGGGCGAAACAATTTTCAGACCGAACCGACAACGTTTGCACTGTTTCATTGAGAGCTTTCACGCAGATCTAACACTTCTGATTGGTTCCCGCCAAAACCAAAGAAAAAACAGCACAACACGTCAGGCGTCGCACAGCTCCACAGCACAAGCACTGCGATCGTTCACGCACGTCCTTGCGATTTTGGGCCCTCCTTGGGTTCAAGCTGGGCCTGGGTGAAGTACCACTTGTTCTTCCGATCACTTTCTTAGGCTTCTTAGTTATACGTAGCATGTCTAGCCATAGAAACGTCAACTTAGGCCGTTATTGTTTCAACTTAGATGCGTAGAGAAGTTGGCATGGTTGTACACTACGTTGTGCCGTTTCGAATGACCTCTCGCCGCCTTTCCAGCGTATCTTGCTCGCCCTCCCGTTCCGATCGTCCTCGCGCCGTCCGTCCTGACGCCGTCCCGACGACCGTCGCATCGCGATCCAGTCGTCCGTACCGTCCCCTCGATATCTCTCCGTGCTTCCCGTCGCCTCGTAGTCTCTCCCTTCCCATCCCGTCGCCTCGCAACCTCTCCCTTCCCATCCCGTCGCCTCGCTCTCTCTCCCTTCCCATCCCGTCGCCTCGCAATCTCTCCCTTCCCATCCCGTCGCCTCGCTATCTCTCCCTCCCATCCTTCGCCTCGCTATCTCTCCCTCCCATTCCGTCGCCTTCGCTATCTCTCCCTCCCATTCCGTCGCCTTGCTATCTCTCCCTCCCATCCGTCGCCTCGCTATCTCTCCCTCCCATTCCCGTCGACACGCTATCTACCCCCTCCCTTCCCGTCGCTCTCCCCAACCCCGCTCCCTTCCCGTCGCCCTCTCACTCTCCGCTCCCTTCCCGTCGCCCTTTGTCTCTCCGCTCCCTTCCTGTCGCCCTCGATGCAGTTGTCGCCCTTCTTCACACACCCCCCATCACCCACCCCATCGTCTTCCCACTCGCCACAAAATGCCTTCCCGTCCCCCATCGCTCTTGCTCTGCAATGCCTCTCTGCACCCTTCCTCCCTCCCCTCCCATCACCCATATCATCGCCCGTGCGCTTCATCTCACGTCATCCTTCCCAATTCCCCTCCCGTCATTCTCTTTCCGCGATTTCTGCTCATTCATCTCTTTTATCTTGCAATCGTTTCCGTCGCCCTATCTCTCTCGTCTCACGCCACCTTGAAGCTCTCTTTCTTTCCCCTCCTTTTGTATGTCCTGTGCTATTCTTGCCGCCATTGCAGATTCATGTCTGAGGCGTTCACTGTTGGTCCCATTGCTCGTGCCACAATTTGTGAAATTGGCACTGCATGTGAATGGGCGTGTCGCAAACTTGTGACACTTGTGCACCTGCTTGCGACAAACTCCTGTTCGATGGAAATTTGCCAAGACTCGAAATGTATCAAACGCATCTGAGGGAAAAAAATAAAACAGAACAACACTTCCAACTTTTCAAAGGGTTGAGACTTCAAGTGGACCCAACTAGAAGGGGGGGGGTCACTATTTTAGCTGCTGGCTTTAAGCTGATAAAGCCATAATACATGCTTTTATAGTGCATATTTCCGTACAAGTAAGAGCGCAGTTAATGTAGCTTCTTCTAACAGGGTTTTCTCGTGGGGGTTTGTGTCGTCATCTGGGCGATGTTCGGCTGCCACAGGGGATCGACCGAGGGATGTGGGGAGGGATCAGTTTCGCAGCTAGGGTTTCTAGTTCGGTGTGGTCAGCTCGGAGTCAACCGTCGTTGACTCCAAGTCCGGGGTCCAGGCGGAAGCGGGAAGTTTGGGGGAAAAGGCGCGGACGAGCGACTCGGGAAATGGGGGCCCACGAAACTGCAGCCGCGCGAAACGAAACTTTGCGAGCTGAACAGTTTTCAAGAAATTACTGTTGGAATTTGTCTGGGTAGCTTACTCGATTTACATTTTGTACACCCTAAATGAACTTAAGGGTGTAAATGACAATTATAATTTAGTTAATTTTGGAGATTTCATTTGAAATCTGTGTGTTTAGCATTATAATTTCAATTTCCGGGTTATTGATTTTTTAGAGTGTAGGGTAAATTGATAAAAGAAAATTATGGAAGGGGGCATGGATTCTTCATTCCCCGTGGGCCGAGACCACCCACGGGAATGCATTTTCCATGCCCTGAACACTAGGGCGGAGTTTTTCCGCCATGTGGGGGAATTGGGGGGAGGACGCGACGCGGGTTCAAGCCTAGCGCGGGGTTCGCGTCGCGTTTTAGGCTCACGTCCGACACTTTTTTCACAATTTTCGCGTCTGACCGAAGTGTTTTGCCTAGGTCGAACAGGTCGAACCAGGAGCCTCGGCGTTTCGATGCTCCCTTCCATCCCCTCCCCCCCAACCCCTGTGGCAGCCGAACATCGCCCTGGTCGCCATTTTGAGCTTGAGGGATGCGTTCGCGCTTGTGGTGTACCAGTTGATATTTTTGTTCCTAACAGCTGGGCACATCTCCAGGAGAGCCCCGGCGAATGTGTCATCTCTCGCAGAAGTTCGCATAAGTGGTTTCCGCCTTCGCCTGCCCAAATCTGTTTTCGGATTCAGAACCCTACCGAATTCTCTAGACTGAAAAAAAAAAAGTTTTGGAGGGAAAGACTGACAACTTTCCTGCCAAGTCACGTGTGGACGGGTCTATTTCTGCTGGTCCAGTGACATGTTGATGTTCGAGAAAAACGTCTACCCCACAGCCGACTTTACCGACGAATGCCCAAGTAATCCCGAGGGAAGCGCAGATATAGCTTTCGGGCAGGGCTTGGCTGTGTGCAAGCGTAGCTTTGCCCTCGATTTCAACGCCAGGGGGAAATTGGAGAGCGACAGCTCCCAAGGGTGTTCTGCTTTGTTCCATCCCTTCAGTTCTGCTTTTACGCGTTGTTGTACGGCGGGTGGTGTGTGGTGCGCGTCGTTGTCCGTCCGTCCCCCACCCCACCCCACTGCGAGCACGGCACACAGCCTCGCTTCGTTGAATCGCTGAACTTCTCTACTTTCGGTTTCCCCCACTGTTGCCCTGATTCCGTCCCGATTCATTCGCAACGCAACAGAAGAGCCTCAAGACCTGACAGTTCCCCCTCTCCTACCAACTCCCCCGTCGTCACATGCATCCTTAGCTCCATAACACCCTTAGACCCCCTCACACGTAGTTCAAGTCTAGCGATGTCTAGCAATACACATGATGCCCAACCCCTGCACGCGAAATTGCCTTGCACGTTCCAGAAACCTTGCACGCGTGGGTTTTTTGCCGGGCAGTTGCACTCACGTTACAGGCACGTCGACCAATACGAACCACAGAAACTGAAGAGACCGAAGTCAAACAGTCAACGGTGAGTTACAAAATTTTGTTATAAGCCCTTTTTGCCCGAAGCGAATTGACGAAACCTCCACGAAATGCAAGAATCACTTAAGAGCCCCCTTCACAAGGCAACCTTGGGTTAGTCAAACGGGCATCGTGTGTAGCCTCCAACAGAGAGCACAAGCCGCAGCCCAAACGACAGTTCCCACAAGTAATTTTGTTGCATTCCCTTCAAACCGTAGACCGTTCATGTGTTTCTTCACCTATAAGTATGAGCTTGCCGTGAATTGCGTCTCAGACTTAGCACCCTGGCGGCCTCGGGCTCGTCGTTGAGGTTCCTCAATGCGGCGTTGCAGCAGACATAGCTCAAGCATTCGGCCTGGAAGCGATCAGGCCGGAAGCAAAACAAAGAAATGAAACAACCAGCTGATGCAGACATAGCAGAAAGCAGCTAGCGGTTGCTGGTTACCAAGCAACAGCTGTAAGGATAGGAATCAAGAGTGAAGGGAGGAGCGGGAAACGGCAACCGCATTGGTATCAAACATCGCCAACAACCGCTATCCTCTCCCTCGCAGCATCCATGGCTGCACCCGTGGCGCGCCCTCTCTCGCTCCATTTCCCCCAGAAGCCAGTTTCCGGGAAGAGATTCGCGACGCGCGTCATTTGAAGCCGTTTCGCAGACGCTTTCAAACGAATCGCCCAGACTCTGCACCTTCTCCGCTCCGAAACTCCACCGCGTCGCATTCCGCTTCAAACCCCTCGCTGTCCGCATCGCACGCGTCGCTTTCCTCAGCCTCGCCTTCCGGAAAAGACGGGAAACGGCCGACCGGCCATCTAGACGGTCGGCGCAACGGCACGATCGACCGACCATCTGCTGCTTCTTTCCGCAACGTGAGAGCAACAGCCGTGGTGCCATTATCAGCGTCCTCATTACATACCAATGCTGGCGCGGGAGGGTCGGTCCATTCGCCGCCTAGCGGCGGCGGCGGGTACGCGGCTGCGGGTGGTATCTACAGGAAGCCTAGGAGGAGAAAAGGCGGCGGTCTTGCGAGTGGCGGCGGCGGGTCGGCATTGTCGCGATCGCCGTGCCATAGGCATCGACGCAGCAATGGCGGCAGCAGCTCTGGCGCCGCCGTGACGAGCGGCCATGGAGGTAGTGATGCGAGCAGAGAGGAGAGAAGCAGCAGCAGCAGCAGCAGCAACTGCTCCAGCAGTGATAGCAGCTACGCCGCCGCCGCCGCCGCCGCCGCCGCCGCCAGCGCTATTGGCGGCGCTAGCGGCGGCGCCCTTTTGGATACGAGCTCCGCCGTCGTCGCTGGCGCCGCAGCTAGTGGGGGTTGCAGTAGCGTTGAAACGGTCACCCAAACCGCGGCGCGCAAGCCGCGGGAAATGGAAACCGGCGCCAGTCGCGGCTCTACAGCAGACGATGACGACGATGCTCATGGTCGTCGTGATGGTGATGAGGATGGTAATGGTGTTGATGATGATGGTGATGTTTCCGATGCGTCTGTGCAAATAGACGCCTCCATGTCCATTTCAGTATTTGACACGGATTTCGTCGTGACGGCGCAAACGCTGGTGCAGCTTACAGATACCATGGCGTGCGAGAGTGAGACCGCGGGCATTATACCTTACGAGGCGACTCGGAAGTCGAAGACGGGTGTCGTGGCGCACGGGACTGCGAGCACGAGACCGGCCGTCGTCCCCCACGAATCAGATCGCGTTTCCCAGCAGCTAGACGACGCTTCCGTCGACTTTTCCGTCAACGGTACAGTTGACGTTTCAGTTGACGTTTCTGACGTTTCAGGCGAGGCGTTAGGCTCGGCAGTGTTAGACGTGATGCACGACCCGTGGCGCGTGGAGGGCCTTGATCTGCAGGGACCCAACTACGCCATCGTACGGCGCGACCGCGTTTGCCCTATTCAGCGCGCGGGAGCTGCGGCGGGATATGCGGCGGGAGCTGCGGCGGTAGCCGCGGAGCGAGAAGCTTCCCCGAACGAGCCGGTGTTGGTTGGGAAAAAAAGCCGGAGGAGAGGCAAGGGGAAGAGAGCGACTGGCGGGGAGAGGGTGATTGGAGGAAGGAGAGGAGGAAGCGGAGAGCGGGAGAGGCGCTGGGAGGGTGCGAGCAAGTCGAGTGAAGAAAGGTCCGTGATAGACGATGTGTCGAGCAGAAGAGGAGGGTTGGCATGGGGACACGTTGGGGATGCTGCTGGTGCTGCTGGTTTTATCCGTGCTGCCGCCGGTGCTTCTGCTTCTCCTGCTGCTGATGCGGAGGCGTCTGAGTCGGTTGGGTGCGGTGCTGAGGGGATTGCCCCTGGTAGGTTGAACCGAGGGGCGCGGGGAGGAGGGGTGGCGGAGAGCGGTGGCGGGAGAGGTGGCGCAGAGTGGGAGGCGGAGGGCGGAGGTAGCGAGGGAGAGGAAAGGAATGGCGCAGAGAGGCTGTTGAGTGAAGCGGCTGAGGCGAGAGCTCCGCACTCGAGCAACGGGAAGCATAATGCGCCAGGCGTTACCCAGGGAGGTTCAAAGGGGGACGCTCGGAATGGAGCCCAGGGAGGAGCGCAGCAGACACAGGAGCAGCGGCAGCAGCAGCAGCAGCAGCAGGAGGAGGAAGAGGGGGAGAGGGAGGAGGATGAAGTGGATGAGGGAAAGGAGGGCGGAGAGGCTCTAGGAGGCGGAAGCAGTGAGAGGAATCGTGGAGCGTGGCAGGCAGCAGTGCAGCAAGCAGTAGGCAGCACAGCAGGTCAAGTGGCAGGGAAGGGTATGGCAGGGGAGGGTATGGCAGAGGGTAGCCGATTGGGAGGCGTAGCAGGCGTGGGGTCGGTGTGTGCGGGGCGAGTGGTGAAGGGCAAAGGGCCGGGGCAGTACCTGTTTCGAGCAGAGGACGGAGAGGGTTTTACTAGCGTTGATGTGGGCGCGAACGGCATGTCTGTGGTTTGTAATGCCAGGGGATGCCGGCCTGTTCGGGTAGACGAAAGTTTTGTGGACCGGCATGGGCTGCCCCAGAGCCTTTCGCAGCTGCCCAACGGCGCGGGCAGGCTCGCGGAAGGGGGTTCTGTGGTGGAGATAGAGGGGGAAGATGTTGATTTGGGCATGGGCAGAATGCGGGAGGTGTTGGGGGAAGAGGTTGGGGAAAGTGTTTGGGTAGAGGGGGGGATGGTGGGGGGAGATGCTGAGGATTGGGGGGCGTTGGGAGGGGGAGGTGAGGGGGAAAGGGAGAGGAAGGAGGTTGGGAAGGGTGATAATGGATCGGCAGTGGTGGATGCGGAGAGAGGGGGGGTGATGGGAGTGGAAAGAAGGGAGGATGAGCGTGGGGCAAGGTCTGGTCAGGAACACGGTGGGAATGAGAATGGGAGCAAGAAGGCAGAAGGGAGAGATGGTAGGGAGGCTAGGGAAGGGAGTAACGTGGGGAACGAAAGGGACGAGCGGGACGGGCGCGAAAGAAGACGCAGTGGGGAGTCTGCTTCTGGAGCTCTCAGCACTGGCGTTGGCCTGAACAGTGGGAGGAGAGGAGCGGAGAGCTATAGGGAAGGGGGAGAGAACGTGGGAAGGGGTGCGGAAGAGGGAACGGGAGGCGGCGGAGAGGGGGCAGCGGTGCGTGGTGGGATGGCAGTGGAGGGGCCAGCAGTGGGGGGGAGAGCGGCAGCGCGAGTGGAGGAGGAGGACGAGCAGTACGCGCGTGCTGTGCGCGCTGACCCCTCCAACGCCCTGCTGCTCTGTGACTACGCCCGCTTCCTCTGTGAGGTGCGCCGTGCTGGCTGGCATTTGTAAGGTACAAGTCCTTCTTTCTTTCGTTCTTTCTTTCTTTTGTTTGTTCCTTCTTTGTTTCTTTTTTTTCAGGCGCCTTGATATTAGATTAACTTCCTCTGTGGGGTGTGCTGGCCGTCTCTGCAGTTCATGCGGCACCCGGCATGTCAGCAGGTGGATTCGTGGATATAAGCACTCCTCTTCTTCCCTCCTCCTCTCGTTGCCCCTCCTCCGCTCACGTGCTCCCTCCTGATCCCTCAGATCAAGGACTATCCACGGGCAGATCAAATGTTCCGGCGGGCAGCTGCAGCCAGCCAAGCAGAGGGGCGGGCGCGCATGAAAGGACGGGCAGCAAGAATGGATCAGAGCCCAAACAACCCCACAGACAATGGGGCCCTCAAGGGGGTGAAAGGAGCGAAAGGAGTGAAAGGAGTGAAGGGGGTGAAGGGGATGACAGGGGTTGAGGAGGGGGAGGTGCTGGTGCTATGGGCTAAGGCGGTGTGGGAGGGGTGGCGTGACGGTGAGCGTGCTCTGGCTCTCTTTGACCATGCTGTGGAAGTGGCGCCTCATGACTGGTGCGTGCCTCTCAACTGAATTGACTTTTTAAGCCTCTGTCCATGCTCATGGAAGAGCATGAAGTGAACCCTCGTGACTGGTGCGTGTGGGAGGTGATTGTTTTTCGATTCATCCCCTCACCTCCCTCCCCCTCCTCTTGTCCCGCCCCCTCTCCCGCACAACAGCTATGTGTTGGCAGCATATGCATCCTTCCTCTGGTCTGTGGAAAGCGCCTCTTCCACTGCCTCTACAGGCTCTAGCAGCAGCAGCACCACCACCACCACCAGCACCAGCACCAGCACCAGCACTACGGGCAGCGGTGTCAGTGGTGCATCAGTTGGCCCTTTGTGCCTGAACCCCAAGCAGGGGCAGAAGCCCCCTTCCATGAGCCTTGCTACGCGTGCACTTGCCACCAACAGACTAGTTGACAGCACCGGTACTCACACTGGCAGTGGCACTGCTGGCAGCACTGGCAACGGCAGCAGTGGCAACACGTAATGGCAGCAGCAGCAGCAGCGGCAGCAGCAGCTGTAGGCATGGTGGTTGGTGGCTGGCTGATTGTCGATAGCTGTGGCTTACCTCTGGGTGGTGTAAGCCGAATGTTATGCGAGCGAGTTGGCAGAGCTCTAGAAAAACGCATTGGACGTTGAATGAGAGGCGGTGCTATGCTATCAACGCATCTGCCCAAGTTTGGTGCGGTCGTAGGCTCTTTAACATTGAGAGCAACACTTGGGGGCGATGGAGGAGAGGAGAGGAGGTGAGCTGAGCAGTGCTGCTACTAGTGCCTGCACTGCTCATTCTCTCGAGGGCTGGTTTGCTCGCGTTTGCAACCGAAGCAAAAAAACCATGCTTCAATGCTTCTGTATCATACACTCGTCATCATACGGCACCGTACCGTACCGCAAAAGAATGATGACTCAGGAGGAGGAGGCGCTCTAGTCGCATCTGCCTCTGCCTCTACTAGATTGTGCTGAGACACCTCAAAACCGTGAGTAACAACGACTGGTGAAGTGCCGGTAACATCCATCTGCTGAGGCTCTCCTCTCCTGCCGCCACAATCCCCATGCGTGGAGGGAGGGAGGATCTTTCTGGTGCAAGAAAGACTTCATGTAGCAGAGTTGGGATTTGGGATTTGATTTAATCCTTTCGACCGCAGCATCTCATGATGGTCCGGCACGGGTGTGTGCGGTGGAGTGCGGATGAGTCACTTTTGCCAGACCGTGCCGTGCCGGACGGTGTTTTGCTTAGCCTGTTTTTCCTGCTGGTGTCTGTTCTGACATCTAAAACCCTGGTGACTTGCGGGAGTCATGCTGCTTGACTGATGGGCCACAAAACCATGCTCGCTCGTGTGCTTGATTGCTTTATTGCTCATATTCTATGCTCTGATGCCTGATACGGTGCATGATTTTCCTTACCCATGCCTAACGTGCTATGCATGGGAATATGCTATGCTGCTTCTCGTGACTTGGAAGCGAAAAGCGACGACAAATATGGCATTTACAGGAGAATGTACAGGCACACAATGCAGGCACGAACACCCCCTTCAAACCCCCCTTCCCCCTTTCCCCCACCCCCCTCCCCTCTTCTCCCTAAGCACTTTCCACAAGGAAGGACAACCTATATACAGCACAACACCATAAACAAATACGGTACCATGCACACAAATTATCTACACTCTACTACATGAGGTGCAGCAGCAGGTTGGTGGGGCACTCAATAAAGGATTTCCAGTGCGAGGAGAAGGCAGCTAGCGTGGCACCGTCGATTACCCGGTGATCTGCTGACCAGCTCACCTATAGGGGAGCGTAGGGGAGTGTAGGGGGGGTGGAGGTGAGGCGATGGGGGGCGTTGGGGTAGGGGGGAGGGGCGTCAGTGGGGTGACAGGGTTGCGGAAGGGTGTAGCGGTGGGGTGTCAGTGGGGTGAAGGTCACAGTGGGTGGGAAGGAAGGATCTCTGTGGGGTGGGGCAAAGGGAGCACAGCAGGAGGAGCAGGTGCAGGCATGACATTTGGATGCACAGATGGGGTCGGCAAGCGTTTGGGCGATGTGAAAGAAAGGGATTCACAATGACACACAGGAGGGGAAGAGGATACCGTGCCACACCACACCCCACCCACCCACACCCCATGCCATAAGGATACCACGCCGTGCCTTGCGTTTACAATGACACATCCACACTTGATCACTCTGGCCCACCACTACACCACCCATGCCACCACACTACACCGCACCACACCACACCACACCACACCACACCACATCACAACACCCCACCACCCCACCACATCCACAACCCACCACACCCCACACCCCATTGCACCACACCACACCAAACCCCACCACGTACATTCATGAGCGCCACCGGAACCACGTTCCCATGGGCGTCGAAGCGGGGCATGGTGTGCACGCGACCCAGAGCCACGATGGCCACCTCTGGTAGATGCACCAGCGGTGTGGCATACGTGCCGCCGATGCTGCCGATGTTGGATATGGAGATGGTGCCACCTGTCACGTCCTCATTGGGCAGCTGGTTCAGCAGCGCCAGGCGGCGCAGACGGGCGATGTCCTCTGCGATCTGATTGGTGCACGCAGGCGGTGTGGGAGGTGGGCGCAGGCAGGGGACATTGTGAAGAGGGAATGAGGCAATTTTGAAAGGGGACGCACTTGATTGTATCGAGAAAAGGGGGCATGCTCGGACTTGTTTCGGACTTGATTATTTGGGAGGCATGCTTGGGAGGCATGCTTGGGAGGCATGCTTGAGAGGCATGCTTGGGAGCCATGCTTGAGAGGCATGCTTGGGAGGCATGCTTGGGAGGCATGCTTGGGAGGCGGTATACCTGGGGAATGGACTTGCTCTGGCAGTTCTTGATATTGGGAACCACGAGGCCTGATGGCGTCGCCATGGCAATGCCGATGTTGTGCGCCCCTGCATGCATGCACACACGTGGGAGGATGTGTGGGGACGGGTGAGAAGAGGGAAGCAGATGCACCAGACGGTGGGTCCAACACCCTGAAAGCACAGCCAGCAGCGGCGGCATGCGGGGCAGCGTCAGTGGCAGCAGCAGTAGCAGCAGTAGCAGCAGCAGCAGCGGCGGCGGGGAGTCTTACGTTTGCAGCGCAGGTGGGTGAAGGAGGCGTCATCGAGGGTGCTGTTGAGCGTGGGGTAGTCGTGCAACGCCACTGACAACGCCTTCACCAGAATCGGCAGATGCGTCAACCGCACCACCGCCGCTGCTGCCCCTCCTCCTGCCCCTGCCTTGTCAGCTGCAGGCTTTGCAGCAGAACCTCCAGCGGCAGCAGCAGCAGCGGCGGCGGCAGCGGAGGAGGAGGCGGAGTTGAGCTGGGAGCGCAGGGAGAGAGCAGCGTCCATGGATACCTCGTCCATGAAGGTGAAGTGCGGCACTGCCAGCGCTGCTGCCATCGCCTTCGCCATGGCCCTCCGGTACCCGCTGCATGGGGGGGATGGGGGAGATACAGATGCGTGAGGAGGCAGGGGGAGTGGAGCGGATGGTAAAAGTGGGAAGAGTATGACATTGGATGCTGAGAGTGGGAGTTTGGTGGATTGGGAGACGGAACGAGTGGGAGATGGTGAGAGAGGGAGATCGGGAGTGTGGAGGGTTGAGTCCGCAGCAACGACTGTTGCTGCAAATGTGAAGTATTCAAAACGCTACTTCAGTCGCACGAGAATCCTCCTCATGTGAAGCCATTTGCAGCTCCCCCTTCAAATCCATGTCTGCCATGTGTTCCCAGAGGTGGTCCGATTGATTGTATTCCTGTCTTCCTCTCTTTCTTTCACCTGCACCGTCTACATCAACACATTGCCACCCCTCTCACCGCATTGGCAGCAGGATGTCGTTCGTGTCATCAACGCGTGCCCTCGCACCCGCGCCCGCACCCACACCCTCTGCTTGCGCAGCTGCAGCAGCAACACCCATCCGCCCCACCGCCTCTCCTGCCCCAGCCTCAACCCCACCTCCAACCAGCACCCCTCCCCCTCCCCCTCCTCCTGCTGCTCCTCCTCCTGCTGCTCCTCCTGCTGCTCCTCCTGCACCCAGTGTGTCACCCATGGCTGGTTCTGGTCCTTCTAGCACATGCTCTTCCATCCTCATCTCCTCCTCAACGCCTTGCCGTGACTGCACGTACGCAAGCACATCCTCTTTAGTCACGCGCCCGTCCCGGCCCGTGCCCTCCACGTCAGCCAGGTTGATCCCGTGCGTCCTTGCCAGGTGGCGCACCGCTGGCACCGCCAGCACCTCGTGGCTTTGGTCGGCGCGAGATGGTGACGTGGCAGAGGAGGAAGAGGTGGAGGAGGCTGACGATGATTGTGGCTCTGATGACGTGTCGTGAGGTGGCGGTGCTGACGTGGCTACAGGCTCGCCTGCGCCGGGCGGAAGGATGTCCGCTAACGTCTCTCCGACCTGTCGTGGGGGAATGGATGGATGAATACCTGTTCAGCACCTCATCCTCTCCCCTTCAAACAACCCCCACTGTCAACCCCCATCCTCTTCCCCATCGTCTCCCCACATCAACCCCCTCTCCCCCGCGCGTGGCGGAGCGAGCGCACCTTGACGACGTCCCCCGGCATGAAGTGAGTGCGCAGGATGCGGCCGTGGAAGCGGCTCGTGATGTCCACCGTCGCCTTGTCGCTCTGCACCTGGCACACGCGCTGGAACGCGCGCACCTCCTCGCCCTGCGCGCGCGCGGCGGGGGGAGAGAGGGGGAGGGGGGACGCGGAAACAGACGGCGGGGAGCCGGGGGTGAGGAAACACGTGCGAGGTTTGTGGGCGGGGAAGAGGGGGAAAGAGGTGGGAAGAGGGGGGGGAGAGGTGGGTATATCTAGGATGAATGGGGAGGAGCGGATGAAAAAAGAAGAGTATAATTCGTATGAAAAGTAACTTAAACCTCCCGCGGAGGCCTCACCTATTCCATGCCTCGCTCCGCCCCTCACCTCTTCCACAAACCACTGCAGCAACTCGCACTCGGCAATCCCCTCGCCCGTCTGCGCCAGCTTCAGCTCCAGAATCGCGTGACCGCCCCCGCCCTCCTCCGCTCTTCCGACGGGCTCCGCGCTACTGGCGGAACTTCCAGCGATGCCGCGCGCGGAGATGGGGGAAATAGCGGAGAGGAAAGCGGCGGGACGTGGGGGATGGAATCGGCGCGCGCCTGTTGTCCGGCGGAAGAGTGCGCCGTGAAATAAACCCGCAGGGTAGTTCCTCCGAGTCGACTGCGACTCGGAAAAGCATGGCGCGTCGTGCGGTGAGGAAGAAGGCGCCACGGACGATGAGGAGCAACGGATGAGGTTACTTGGCGCGGAAATAGGCGCGATGTGGTAGTCCCGTGATATGCCTTTATCGGAGATGGAGTGGGAAGAAAAATCCACCGCAATCATGTGGTGCCGACCAGATGCCGCGACTGCCGCGACGCAGTCCAACAGCCGCGTCGCAGCGACTGCGGTTCTTCGCACGGCCGCCATGCGACCAGAGACGCGACAACTGTGGAACGATGTGGATTAGCGGGAGTCGCGGAATTCGCGGGATGTATGCGTCGCCTCTGCAAGCTATGTGATAGTTGCCCCAAACACGAGCGAATACGCACCACGCAAACCGGCGAGAGCAGAACCAAGCTCGCCGAAACGAGGGTATAATCTCGATGCTCAAGCCTAGCCTCGAACGCACGCAGGACAGGAGAGGAGGGAACACAGCGTCCTGAAGGCAGGCTGAAGCTCGAGGTGGTGGTGCTTGTTGTGCTTGTAAGACGATACGAATAAAAATGCTGCAGAAAGCGGAAGTGTGATGTGGCGGAATGCAATGGAATGGAAAAGAATGTCTCTAGGACGTGTTTACAATTTTGGGATGGAGTGTCGACCCGGGTCCTTCATCTCTCCCAATCACTCTTTTGAGGTAGGGGGGCACTTGTGATGAAACCGCACAATACGGCTTGAAGTGGCCTGAAACGATTCACACCGACTTTCCAACCGCATCCTCGTTTCATGGTAAACAGTGACACGCCAGGACGGGACTTTACCAGCCTGCCTTGACGTGTCCAGTTCTTCAACAACTTTCACTCAGAACAGATGCGAGATTTGGGCGATTCTTCTCAACGCCTCAGATGCAATATCAAGTGTTCTGTGAAGTTTGGGCACAGAAAAGGGCCGTGGATCCTGATGTGGCAAACTTGGCAAGACGCATCTCCTCGTCACGCAGGCGTTCTGGTGACGTTTGCAAACTCGTGAAGTCCGAATGTGGAGTGCGGCTCGCAGGCTTGGAATTGCCCCTGTTTGAAGGGAAAATATGTCAATGGTAACTTACATGGGGCACTGTAACGCGTACGGTAACGATTTCAACGCGTTTGGTAACTCGCTTAACGCGTTTGGTAACTCGCTTAACACGTTTGGTAACTCGCTTAACACATTTGGTAACTCTACACTAGCAGCCCATCAAGCAGCACCAGTACTTCGTTCAGCTACTCCAGTGACTCATAAAGATATCCATTAACTGTAAATTATAATACAGAAGCTCACTATGGCTAAACATGTACATAGCACAACCACCATAAGCAGGACAACCTCAAAACAAACGACAGCTATGTACAAGCTAAAAAACCCTACCACCAGCTATCTCCCCCCACCAAAAGTCGGCCATAAATAGCCATGCACAGTGGTGAGAAACTTGCTCCTGTACAAAAATGTAAACATGGAAAGGGCTAAGAACTCCATTGCATGATGCGTTTCTTCCTCCTCGCCTCCATCCATCCGGAATTCCCTCTGTCACAAACCGTCCAAACCGCTGTTGAAACATTTCCCTCGTGTTTCTCTTGCAGACTCCGTTGTCACCCTGCTCCTCACTCTCTGCTTCGCCCTCTCACGTAGCCATCATCACACATCCGAGCGCAGATGGTCCCAACACCATGTTTCCGAGTGTCACACCGAATCCAATGTACAAAAGCCCTGCAGAGAGCCGTTTGTGTCTTCTTCTCAGCACAATCGCAGCAGCCCGGGGCAGAGACGGGCGCCAATCACTGCACGGGTACGGAGAACCCGCCAAGCCCGCCAGGCGAGCACACGCCGCCGCCCCTGGCGAACAGACAGTACCCCTGCTCGCGCATTGCGGCGCAGCGCACCTCCTCCGCAGCGGACATGTCGCGCCAGTCTGGCGCAGCGCCCGCAATGCCCGTCACGGCCCAGCCGTCGTTTCCCAAGGGCGAGGCTTCCCCGAGGCGGGGGCGATCCACCAGCGGAAGGGACAGGGTGCGCTGCGGCACGACAGGAAACTGGAAAAACGAAAACTCCTCCTGCGCCTGCTCGTCCTGCTGCTGCTGCTGCTGCTGCTGCTGCTGCTGCTGCTGCTGCTGCTGCTGCTGCTGCTGCTGCTGCTGCTGCTGCTGCTGCTGCTGCTGCTGCTGAGGCAGGTGCTGCTGGTTGCCCTGCGCAGCAGTTTTACCAGAAAGGGGAACCTTGGGAACATCGGCGCGCTTCTTGATCGGAGTGTGGGAGCGCGCAGGGGTGGAATTGCGGGGATTGTTATTCATGACACACACGTCCCCGAGCTGCCTCCAGCTCGCATTCGCGAGGTCGTAAATGGCCTCCTTGTAGTCCGAACACGCGCACACATGCACGCCGCACGCAGCGACAACGCCGGGAGTATTGGCAAGAAACGTTCCGGTTGCTGCTGCTGCTGCTGCTGCTTCGGAGGCGGCGGCGACGGGCTTGCCGCTCCCTGGGCCTGCGACAAGCGCAGATATCGCCGAAGTTCCCGCCGCATCCGTCGCGGTGATGACGTCGGGGAGAGGCAGGTCCAGCTCGATCATCGCCGTGTCGCGGTGAACGGAGTCCGATGCCATGGTACGGATGGAAATGAAACGACCCAAGTGAACGCGCGGAGCGAAGTCCGAATCGACAAGAAACTTCTGAGTGGAGAAAGGAGATCTTCGTGAGATGGGTGGATGAAGTGGAGTGGTGACGATAGAGCTGGTTTGTACTGGCGTGCCTCGCGAGGTTTACGGGCTCTAGGCGAATCCTTCTTCAAGGGCTTGCGGGAAACGCGCGCTGGAGTGAGACGCCGGATGATGCGGTGCGATGAGAGCTGGTCAATTCGAACTTGCTATATTTGACTGAAGAGATCCCCGCAGAGCGCGTGCGTCGGGAGAGATGTGGAGAAAGTGAAGCGTTTTGTGGCAATAAAGTGTGTGGTGGTTCCGTCGGCCCACGGTGGGGCGCAAAGGGCGGAAATTTGGGGCTGATCCCCCCTCGCCCCAGCGCGCTGCGCGCAATGTTGCTTGCTTGCCAACGCGAGTCCAAGCAGACGGTTTTCCCATCTGCCCTGGCCAGGCGAAACCAGACGAGACGTTCCTTCGTGTGCGGCTTGTGGTGTAGTGGAGATGGGGGAAGGGATAGGGAGCGAGAGGAGGCAGATGACGGGCTGGATTGGGTGAGCTGTGTTGCGTGCGTGGCGAGAGAGGTGGAAGGTGAGGGGTTGACGTGCCCCGCAAGCAGTGCTTGGCTATTGGGGGCCTTTGGGGTGTATTGCGGCGGGCAACGAGGAGGAGGTGTGATTGGGGATGGTAATGGTAGGCCGCATTGTATGGAATGCATGGCATGGTATGGCATGGGAAACCGAACTGTACAACAGGGGGAAATCGGTGGTTGGGTGGCGGGTGGATGGATGGGCGGATGCATGGTTATGCGGGGTGAAGGAAGGGGTTTCGCCTCGCCATCATCCTCTCGGTGTTGCAAATTCCCAAAAGCCCACGCGTGTGAAAGAGTACTGTACACCAAAACTTCACGCCACTTGATACAAGTTCACTCCCCGAGCCGAACAGGTTCGGATCTTTTGCAGCTTTTGGTGACAAGACAGCACAGCTCCGCATCAAAACACACCAAACACACCACAATACCACACCGCCACTGGGTGTGGCACTGTCTGCCCTGCAAATTCTGTGCAAATTTTGCTGCCCGATCGCCGCCACCACGAGCTTGCGAGGAGCCGGAGCGGAAATTCCACCAGTTCGCGACCGTCGACTCCCCGCGCCGCGTACTGTATTGTCAACGCTGCGCTGGCTCGATGACCTGGCCGGGCCTTGCTGGCAGGAAAATGGCTCTCCCACGTCAGCAAAAGGTTCGTGTCAGATGTGATGGGGCTTGATCGTTAGTTGTGACGGTGGCCCGAAAAGTCTTCGTGAGTGGCAATGCTTTCGGCCAGCGCGTAGGCCCATTGTATGAAGTGTTCTGTTATCGAGCATTGGGACTAGAACGAATGGCGCGAAGCCCCACGTTCTCCACCATCACCCCATCACTTCCCCAGCGCACCTGACCTGATTCAGCAGGTAGAAATCATTTCAGGTGCCGTCAACAACCAACCGACGAGGCGTTTCTGATGTCGTTGGTTACACGTACCAAACGAGGCGTTTCAGTAATATAAAAGGCGTTTCTCAGTAACAGATTGTTTATGTAAACTACGATACTTGAAAACACCTACCCTATGCATTGCAAAGTTGCTGTTATTTGTCTTACCTATTTATTGGAAACACAAAACAACCTATTCTAAGGATTCTTCTGCATATCAATTTCTGCTCGCATCTAAACACCTTTTTCTATACAGAGAGCCTTAGAAGCTTCCCTTGAGAACAACTTGATTGCAGATTACCTCATTAGCTTGCGTCAACTTACAAAGCATGTGTTCCAGTTGCTATAACAATGGTGGTGCAGGCGGCAGCAACGGCAGGTGGCATGGGCGAGAGGAGTCAATGATGCGAGCTTGAGGACTGCAGGATGGGCAAGGCGCAACACGGAATCGAGGCACGAATTACGGTAGTCTTGTTTGGCAGGAAGAGGTAGTCAAAACACAAAGATTGGGATGAGGGGCGAGGGCACACCAAAGATTGAGGAAATAGAAAAATGATGGAGAAAATGCAATTTTAGTAAGGGAGAAAACCCCCTCGCATGCTCACCTTGGATCTTCCCCAGTTGCGAACCCCTTCCATGAGGGATCCGGACCGTGAGTGCGACTGCTTATGGCCTCCTCCCTTTCCCCCTCCCCCTCCTCCCCCTCCTCCCCCTCCTCCCCCTCCTCCCCCTCCTCCCCCTCCTCCCCCTCCTCCTCCTCCTCCTCCTCCTCCTCCTCCTCCTCCTCCTCCTCCTCCTCCTCCTCCTCCTCCTCCTCCTCCTCCTCCTCCTCCCCCTCCTCCTCCTCCTCCTCCTCCTTCCTCGTTTCCTACACCTCCTACTCTCTCCACTGCTTCCCCTGCCCCTCCAGTCCCCCCTGCTCCTGTTACTCCCTTCTCCCTGTTCACCACACCACTGGCAGCTGCCGATGCTCCACCATCACATTCCCCTCGACCTGTCCCCTCCCCATCCTCCCTCTCTCCACTCGTGTCCCCCAGGCCTACGCCCCCCAATCTGCTGCTGCTGCTGCCACTGACAGCCTTCTCACCTTCCCCCTCAACCTCCCCTTCCTGATGCTGCTGCTGCTGCTGTTGCTGCTGGGGGTAGTGATCTAACCCCCCTCTGCTTTTGCTCGCATGGCGTAGCACAGCAGAGACAGAGGAAGTGACGGCGGGTGATCGGAACACTCCCAAGGGAGGCCCACACCCGATCATGTTCATCTTGCCCTGGACCAAAGGCGAGGACGGCGGCTCTGCCTGTGCAGCGCCCTTCACACTCATGCTGCTGCCTGCACCACCACCAGTACCACCATCACCAGTGGCAGAAGCAGCACCACCACCGCTGGTACCACTGCTTGCACCCACATTGCTGCTGCCAACCCCACCACCAGCAGCACCAGCACCACCAGCACCACCAACACCACCAGCACCACCAGCACCAGCAGCGCCAGCACTGTTGCTGCTGCTGCTGCTGACAGCGTGCTCAGCCTGCCCCATGGAAAAGGCTGCTGGGTCTGGTGGCGTGGATGGGGTGCTGGGGGTGGCAGCAGCAGGGTGGGAGGGCATGGAGAGCGAGCGAGTGCTGGAGCCCAGAGGAATGGCGTGCTGCGCAGCAGAGGCAGCAGAGGAGGCGGATGCAGAGAGTGGGAAGAGACGCCTGCTGCTGGCAGCAGCAGTTGTTGACGCAGAGGAGTGTGTATCTGGTGACGCTGATGCTGATGATGACAGGGGTGATGGTGTTCCCTGCTGCTCCTGCTGCTCCCGCTGCTGCTGCTGCTGCTGCTGCTGCTTGTGCTGCTGCTGCTTCTTGCTGAAAACCAGTCTAGAGGGGGAGATGCTAGCCCCTGAGTGATCACCGGAAACCCGCCAAAACCCGCGACCCCGGCCCTTTTTCCCTCTAGCAGCACTTGCACCACCACCACCAGCACTGCTCCCAGTAGCAGCGCTACCATCAGCAGCGGTGGCAGCAGCAGAGCCAGCAGCAGCATCAGCACTGGCAACAGACACAGCAGGAGGCGGGAGGTTGATGGGATGTGGGTTGTTGTGAGGGCTGGTAGGGCGGAGAGGGCTATACGGGGTGGTGGAGGAGCTGAAAGGGCTTAAGGGACTGAGTGGCAGGGACGGACTGTGCACCCTGCCATTCATACCCATGCCCGTGCCCATGCCCATGCCGTGCCTTGCGCTGCCAGCACTGCCAGTGCTCCCTCCACCCCATGCGCTCGAATTTACCGATGCCGGACTGTCTGTGCTGCCACTGACGCTAAACCCATTCCCATGGCCGCCAAACGCGCCTCTGATTGCAGCAGCAGCAGCGCTAGCAGCAGCACCTGCAGCAGCTCCAGAAGCAGTGGAAGCGCGGCTGCTGGTGACAGACGGGGAGTTGGCTGCAGAAGTATCAGATTCGCTGTCAAAATAGTCAACCACGAGAATCTCTGATCGCACCACCTCCCTCTCCCGCACTATCCCTGCTGCTGTGCGCAGCTCACCCCCTCCCACACCATCCTCACCCAACAACCCTCCCATCTCTCCCCCTCCTCCCCCTCCTCCCCCTCCCCCTCCCCCTGTGGCTTCCCCAGCCGTCGATCCCGACTCAGAATACAGATCCTCCGCGCCTCCACCAGTAGACACCCGCTCACCCCCATCCCCATCCCCAACGCCCCCCCCAAACGCCCCCGTAAACCCCGCAAACCCCCCCGCCATCTCTTCCCCTCCCGCTCCCGCGCCCGCAGGAACCGCAGACAGGGAAGCAGAACCAGGCATGCCCCATAAGAGCGATCCATGCTGGGTGAGCCGGGACTTAGCAGGGAGGCTGTGTGCGGGGACCAGCCCTGCTGCTCCGCGGGGGCTCAGCAGGCCGCTGAGAGCGCCCAGTGCTGCCACTGCTGACTGCTGCCCGCCCTCCGATGGAAACCGAGGGTACTTCCCTGCTGCTGCCGCTGCCCCTGCCCCTCCTCCTCCTCCTGCTGTTGCCACTGCTCCCCCTGCTCCTCCTCCTCCCCCTGCACCTCCTCCTCCTCCTCCTGCTCCTCCTCCTCCTCCTCCTCCTGCTGCGGCTGTTCCTGCAGCCCCCAGGGCCACCACCCCTCGGCCTCTGCCGGTCCCGTGCGGCCCGGCAAGCACCGGGCTGAAGAGACGCCCTCCGCCACCTCCGCCCCTGCCACCCACCGGGCTCATGAGACCCAGGGGAGCAGCGGCAGATGATGATGCAGATGATGCACCCACAGAGGCATGCCGCATGAGGTTCACTCCACCCATGCCTGCTGCTGATCCTGCTGCTGCTGCTGCTGCTGCTGCTCCGCCTCCTCGGGGACTGATCAGGCCTAGACTCCCCATGGACCGGAGCGGGCTGAGAGGCCCGTTAGTTGACCCCATTGACCCCATTGACCCAAGCGGGCTGAGAGGGCCGCTTGAGAACGTATTTGAGAACCCGTTTGACCCCATTGACCCCATGGGACTGGGAGGGCCGTTGGATCTATGCCGTGCGTTAAGCGGTCCTGCTGCTGCTCCTGCACTACCAAGCACAGGACTGCTGATACGACCTGTAGAGGAGGAGGAGGGGGACTGGGAGATGGAGTGCGCGACAAACCCGCTGCCCCGGCCTGCACCCATGCCCCTTCCCCTGCCGCCAGACATTGGACTCAGCATACCCATGGCGAAGGCACTAGTAGAAGCTGTTGATTCTCCCCAGCTTCCTGCTCCCCGAATGTTGCTGCTGCCGCCGCCGCCGCCGCCGCCGCCGCCGCTGTTGCTAGCGGTTTGGCTTCCGAAGGTGGGGGTAGTGGCAGCAGGAAAGGTGGGAGTGGTGGCGGCAGGGGTGTGTGGGGCGAGTGCCTTGGAGGGCATGGGACGGGGTGAGGCCACAGGGAGCCATGGAGGTGGGGCTACTCCTGCTGCACTGCTGCTTGCAGCTGCTGAGAATGCTTCTAGAGGAACAGCGGTTACAGTTACAGGTACACCTGCAGGACCAGCAGTGGCACCAGCAGCAGCAGCAGCACCAGCAGCAGCAGCAGCGGTGGTTGCTTGAGTGGCTGGAACAGCGATAGGGACGGGTGCGCCCCCCTCGTTGCTGTCCACTGAGTCGGTATGTGGGATGAGCAGAGGCGAGAGCGAGAGTGACAGCTTGCGAATCAGACTGCCTGGTTGAGGCCCAGTAAGGGCCCCTCCTCCTCCTCCTCCTCCTCCTCCTCCTCCTCCTCCTCCTCCTCCTCCTCCTCCTCCTCCTCCTCCTACTCCTCCGGCCCCCCTGTTAAAAAAGGCAGGAGGCGCAGCTGCTGCAGCTGATGCTGATGCTTCAGGGGCCATTGCGGTTGCTGCTGGTGTGTCAGTCAGCTCTGTGTTCCTCCCATCAGGCAGGAACGCAAACCCTCCTGACATACCCACACCTGCTGCTGCTGCTGCTGCTGCTCTTCTGCTGCGCCCGCTGCGCCGCCTCCTCCTCTTCCTCCCACCTGTGTTCCTGAGCTTGCTGAAAAGACAGCAGGAGCAACGATGGGAGGAGTGACGGGTGGAGAGGGCGACGAGAGCACTGCCTGAGCGGAGGGCGAGGAGGAGTGCTGAGGAAAGGAAGCAGAGGTAGAAGCAGCAGCACCACTACCACCACCACCGCCACCACCACCGCCAGAAGCAGCAGCATGAGCAACGGAAGGCGGGGTCCAAGGGGACGCAATGGGGGCAGAGTTGCCAGCAGTGGGCGAGGCAGGGGTGACAGTGATAGCGTCGTTATGGTCCGACACTGCTCCTAGCACCGCCCCCACGGACAGCGGGAAGTTATGCGTGCGAAACACCCGGTGCGCGTACCCCCGCCTGTTCAGATGCACCGTGCTCGCCCCACCAACCCCCTCTGCCACCCCTGCCACTGCTGCTGCCGCTCCGCCTGCTCGCCCTCCTCCTCCTCCGCTGTTCCTCCCCCTAGCGCCTCCCTTCCCTGCTCCTGACCTACCGTTCTGGAAGAAGAGTGGCAGCTCAAGCTCCTGAAGGATCGACAGATCCGCATGCACATCTAACGGGGCTCTCCTTCCGCTTCTTCCCTTCCCACCTCCTCCCCCTGTCCCTGCGCCTCCCCCTGCGCCTCCCCCCACCATGCGACTGGCCCTCGTCCCGTCCGCGCTGATTCCAGCCCTGGGGGGGCGGAGGCCAAGGGGGGAAGCGGAGAGCGCGCCCCCAGGGGAGCCTGCGGGGGACCCGAAGCCGCTGACTTCGCTGAGCAGGCGCTTGGGCACGCTGCGCGCCTTGCGGAAGGCAGCTCGCCGTGCGTTCGTTGGACTGAACGTGGCCCCTGCTGCTGCTGCCGCTGGTGGTGCTGCTGCTGACGGGGACGGATGGGGTTGCGTGGACTGGTGTGGCTGGTGCGGTTGTTGCGGTTGTTGCGGTTGTTGCTGGAAAGCAGAGGGCTGTTGTGGTGCTGGTGGTGACGCGAGAGAAGCAGCGGCTGGTGCACGAGGCGATGCCTGGTGGGTGCGAGAGGGCAACGAGGTCGCTGCTGTTGCTCCTGGCAGGAGCTGCGCTGACGATGATACCGCCTGGGCGGGTCCTACCCCTCCTCCTCCACCTCCTCTAACATCACTGTTGGCACCAGTATATGAGGCAAAACCGGAAAACGTACCAGCCGTACCAGTACCAGAAGCAGCAGCAGCAGCAGCAGCAGCGGCAGCAGCAGCGGCAGCAGCAGCGGCAGCTCCGGAGACAGCCCGTCTAGCAGCAAGCACCTTATCCGACCGTTCAGCAGGGTCAGTCCAGGTGCGGTGAAACATAGGGCCTTTACCCGCAGGCGACACCAGTCCCAGAGCCATGGGGTCGTACCCCCCTGCATTCCCCACCCTCCCTGCTGCCCCTGCTCCCCCTACGGCGCCTCCTCCGGCATGAGCAGGCAGAGCAGCAGAAAGACTCGAGAAAGACATGGAGTGGGCTCGCCTCGCCCTGCCTCCACCGCTACTGCCTGCTGCCTCCGCCCCATCCGCACCTGCTGCACGACCAGCTGCGGCTGCAGCAGCAGCAGCAGAAGGTGACGGCGGCCACATGGGCTTTGCAGCCACAGCAGCAGCAGAAGCAGCGGCAGTAGCGGCAGTGGCTGCAGCAGCTGCAACAGCAGCCTCTGCAGCTGCTCGCTGCCCAGGGCTGAGGTGGATGGAGTTAGAGTGCATGAGACAGGGAACAGAGGGATCATCTGGCTCACCTGCCGTCCCACCCGCACCAGCCGCACCAGCCGCACCACCAGCACCAGCCGTACCAGCTGCACCAGCCACAGCTGCACCAGCCACACCGGCAGCAGAAGCAGCAGCGGCATGCGCGCCAAACGCAACAGGGCTGTGGTTCCAGGGCAGGTTTCCGCTCTTAAGGAGAGCCACTGCCTCCTCCTCCTCCTCCTCCTCCTCTGCCAGGTCCTGTGCCGGTGCTGTGAGGGCCTTGCGCAGTTTCCGCAGCCCCGCCACCCCCCCCTGCAGCCTCGCTGCCATCGCACTGCTGTGCCCGCCCGCTGCTGCTGCTGCTGCTGCTGCTCCACTGGGGCTAGCAGCAGCAGCAGCAGTGGTAGCAGAAGGAGAAGGAGCAGGAGCGTGAGCAAGGGGACGAGGTGAGGTGAGAGCAGCAGCAGAGAAAGCAGGGGCATCAGGGGCAGTCATGGCGGCAGAAGCAGAAAAAGATGGTGAGTTGAGGCCAGGAAACCCCCGCGGGCTGCGAAGGCTGGATGAGGTGGGGGAGAGGGGGATGTGTGAGGGGGACGGCAGGGAGGAGCGGGCTTGTTGGCGCGGGTTCACCCCGGGAGAGAACCACCCAGGCGACTGCTGTGCCTGTAGCACCTCGTGTAGCTGCATAAACGGCTGCTGCTGCTGCTGCTGCGGCTGCTGTTGCTGTTGCTGTTGCTGCTGTTGCTGCTGCTGCAGGTTCTGCTGGAACGGGTGGGCCTGCCTAGGAGACGACGCAACTGCATGGGGATACGGCGGGGGGAGCATTCGAGGCGAGACGGGTGAGCGCATAGACATAGACACGTCCTCCAGGAGCCACCCAGGCTCACTGGTAGACTTGCTCAGTGCCCGCCCCTGTGCCACTGTGGGGTTGTGGATCGTCACTGGGGGAGGCCGGCCACTGCTGTACTTGCCGTGGTGTTGCTGCTTCGGGTGCTTCTGCCCCACTCCTCCTGCTCCTCCTGCGCCTCCTGCTCCTCCTGCGCCTCCTGCTCCTCCTGCTCCTCCTGCTCCTCCTGCTCCTCCTGCTCCTCCTGCTCCTCCTGCTCCTCCTGCTCCTCCTGCTCCTCCTGCTCCTCCTGCCCCTCCTACTCCTCCTGCCCCTCCTGCTACTCCTGCTCCTCCTCCCTGGGCTGCTTGCTGCCGCTGCTGCCCCTGCTGCTGCTGCTGCGTTCGTTGCTCCATGGCAGGGCGAGCGGGGCCTAACGGCCGAGGGCTCACCGGGGGTTGAGAGGCAGCGAGAGAAGCAGACGAGAACAGCGACACCCCTGCTGTGCTCTCCCCCAGGGCAACATCCCCACCTCCTCCGGCTCTCCCTGCCCCTGCTGCCCCTGCTGCAGGATCATCGCCATCAGCTACAGCTAGTGCTGCTACAGCCCCATCAGCTTCATCAACAGTAGCCAGGCTCGAAGACTCCCCCACTTCAAACCCCACCCCACCCACCCCACCCACTCCACCCGCCGCACCCGCACCACCTGGTCTCCTCACAGCACCACTCTCAGACATGGACCGACCGAACCCCAATCCCCACCCTGTCTTAGACCCATGCCCTGACCCTAACTCCGCTCCCAATCCTGTTCCTAACCCTGAGCCTGAACCTGAAGGTGATGCTGGCACAGGGCCGTTGCTGCTTCTCGCCCCAGCTGCTGCTCCTGGTGTTCTGGGTGAGATTCCTCCCACGGCCATTGCCCCTCCTGCCGCTCCTCCTCTTCCTGGCCTAGGGGATGCACCTTCACCCATAGAGTTGCCTGCTACAGGCCCTCCTGCTACAGCCCCTCCTCCTGCACCCCTACCCGCAGCTGCCCCTGGTCGTGGTGACACGGCACCAAACGGCACACGCCCTCCTGTGCCTGTGCCTGTGCCTCTCGCTGCTGCTCCTGCTGCTGCTCCTCCTGCTGCTCCTGCTGCTCCTGCTCCTGCTGCTCCTACTCGTTCTGTCCCTACACTTACACCTACACCTCCCACTACCCCACTCCCTACCAATCCACCGTTCCCCACACCTGAATCTCCCGCTCTTTCTGCTGCCCCCGTGGCTCGTAGTGCTCCTACTGCACCTACCGCGTCTGCTACAACTGTTGCCCCTGTCGAGCCTGACAGGCCAGCTGCAGAAACGGCTCCTACGTTGGTTACACCAGCACCAGTATCAGCACCAGCAGCAGCACCACTAGCAGCAGAAGCAGAAGCAGTAGCGGCTACTAGAAGGCTTTGCACCTCACCTTCCGGAACAGGCGTGACTGGTCTGGCCTTGCCTGGAAACGCGTTCCTCGCTGCTGCTGCTGCTGCTGCTGTCAGCGCTGTGGGGGATGGCTCCCCGCGGCCAGGCAGCAGCTGCTGCTGTTGCTGCTGCTGGGGGGGTCGGTGCAGCCGGGGAGAGATCAGCTGCTGCTGTTGCTGCTGCTGCTGCTGTTGCTGCTGGTGCTGGCCGTCTGTGAGGCTTTTAGAGCGGAACATGGTGCTGGCAGGCACAGGACCTCCTCCTCTTGGTGGCCTCCTCACACCCACTCCCAAGCCCCTGCCTCGAGAACCCATGCTCCCTGGAGTCACACTCCCTGGAGTCACACTCCCTGGGGTCACACTCCCTGGTGTCACATTTCCTGAAGAAGGGGTCCCCAACGCAGCACTGCTGGATGTGACAGCACGAGGAGTAACGCTTCCCAGAGTCAACCCGCGTGGTGAAGCACCCTTGGGTGATTCTGCCCACCGCGGCTGCTCTCCTTCCTCTCCTCCTCCTCCTCCTCCTCCTCCTCCTCCTCCTCCTCCTCCTCCTCCTCCTCCTCCTCCTCCTCCTCCTCCTCCTCCTCCTCCATTTCCTACTAATCCTCCTCCTCCACCTCCAGCTCCAGCTCCTCCTCCTCCTCTCCCCCCCCTCCTCGCCCCTGCGCTCCAACCCTTCCTTGACCCCTTCCCACACCGGTGCCAGTTCCCCTGCCTCCAGCAGGCACACCTTCCTCAGCAACGCCTGCACCAGACGAGCCTCCCCGTGCACCAACAGCCGTGGAACCTGTGGCAGTAGCACCAGCACCACCACCCCCACCACCGCCACCAGCAGGAGCAGCAGCAGAGGTGGCGGGAGAAGAGTCAGAAGAGGACGAATCAGCGGCGTTGGCCGAAACGGAGGCAGAAGCAGAAGGAGAGACGGAGGCGGGCCTGCTCTGACCCCTCGGAGTCACATCACCGCCTCTTGCAAGGTCCAGAGCTGCTACGGATTCACCTGCCACTGCCTCGCTTGCTCCACTGCCCCCCCTGCCACCTGCCCCCCCTGCCCCCCCTGTCCCCCTTTGCGCCACTGCCCCTTGCGCGCCCTGTCCCCTTCCGCCTCGCTCGCCCATTCTGCGGGCTGCACCTGGGGTGACTGAAGTGACAGGCCGTGCCATGCGCCCCGCTTGCCCTTGGCTTGGCACGTCGCCGCGCCTGCTGGTAAAAGAGCTTGAGCCTGTGTTTGGTCCCTTGTCGCTGTTGCTCCTGAACATCACAGGCCTGCGCCCACTGCCCCCCGCTGCTACTGCTGCTGCTGCTGCTGCTCGTGCTCTTGGTGGTGGTGCTGCTGCTCGTGCTGCTGCGTCTGGAAAGCCCCGTGCAGCTGTAGCGCTGTGGGGACTCAGGGGGAGAGGGGAGCCGAGCCCACCAGGAGCAGCAGTAACACCGTCGCTACTTCTCTCGATAACCATGATGTTGATGCTGTCAATACTGCTACCGCCAGCGGCCTCTTCCCCCATCACCCAACCTCTTCCTCCTCCCCCGTTGCCTCCTCCTCCTTCTCCTGCTGCTGCTATTCCTGCTTCGTTAAAGCCTTTCACCTCCATTCCCGGCCGCCATTCCCTTGCGCTCATTGGCCCCCATCGCCCTTCCCCGCCCGGGCCTCCGCTGGCCCACCTGCTCTTGCGCAGCGCCCTCTGCGCGGTCTCCACAATGTCCGCGGAGGCGCCCCTCTTGTGCCCCTCAATCGCGCGCAGCATCACTCCGCGCACCCCCGTCGCCAGCTGCGGGCTCCGCAACCGCGGAAGCACCCCCGCTGCGCCCAGCGCGTTCCTGCCCCCGGGAGCGAATGCTGCGCCCTCCGCGGAAGCGCCGTGCGCGCGCGGAAAGGGGAGCGCGGCGTCGAAATCCGCCTCAGGCATGGAGATCGTGCGGCGGATGGCTCGCTCACGCGGATCCGCGCCAGGGTGTTGCGGGGAGAGTAGCCGATGGCGCGGCTGAAATGGAATGTTGGGGGAGGGGACACGCGGAGCGAGTTGCGGGGAGAGAAGCCGAGGCTGGGGGGAGAGCTGCGGGGAAAAAAGCCGCGGCTGGGGGGAGAGCTGCGGGGAGAGAAGTCGAGGCTGGGGGAGCGCTGCGGGGAGAAGTGGCGGGGCTGCGGGGAGAGTTGAGGGGAGCGATGGGGAGAGAGGTGGGGGGAGCGGTGGGGGGAGTGGTGGGGGGAGAGGTGGGGGGAGCGGTGGGGAGAGTGGTGGGGGGAGAGGTGGGGGGAGCGGTGTGGGGAGTGGTGGGGGGAGAGGTGGGGGGAGCGATGGGGAGAATGGTGGGGGGAGAGCATCGAGTTGTGTTGCGGTGAGAGCAGGCGAGGCTGTGGAGAGAGCTGCGGGGAAAGCAGGCGCCGTTGCGGGGGAAGCTGCGGGGAGAGCAGACGAGATTGCAGCGGGTGTTGCGGAGATAACAGGCGCATTTGCGGGGATGCTACCCTGTGGTGCGGAGAATACTGATGGTGGGGGGAATGCTGCTGGGGAAGCTGCGTCGCTCCGTGGGAATGCACGCCCAGGTCTATTACAGCAACAGAGCTCCCTGAGTTCGTGCGCCTCTTCCCCCCCCTCGCATCCTGCGCCCAGTCGTATCCCCGCGACGACCGCGCATTCTCCGCGCTGCTGACGCGGTTGCTGGGATCTGTGAGGTTCCGCGTGAAAGGGTTTGCTGCAACGGACGGCAGCGAGTTAGGGCTGGGAACCGCGCTCAGAACACCAACACCCTCGATAACTCCAACCCTTCCCCACGTTCCTCCTGGTATTCCCGACGCGTTCTGCCCCACAGCTGCTTCTGCTGCTAGCGACGTGCGATCGGATGACACCTGCTGAGCCATGGCCTCGTCCGTCTCGCCGTTCTCCCATGTCGACTCCGCCCATTCCACCAGCTCGGCGCGCCTTGCCGCGTCGACGCCGGCGAGGGAATTACGAAGCATGGCGCACGCGCTCGCTCGCCGGACGACCTATTCGTCCTGGTAATGGGTCATAATCGGTTCCAGACCGGGACATAGGAGATGCAGCAGCTAAGCACTATAGCAAGCTGCTGCATTGTGTGACCAGCAGTTCGTCTTACTGCTTCCAGCCAGATTTTTTATTAGGGTGATTGATACGTTTTCCAGGCAAGCCTGTCCCAGCTTTTTTTCGCGCGAGGGCCGATGCGACGTCCTGACCTATTCTTGCATTTGTGCGCACGGTTGAATTTCACTATTGCTCGGAGCTTCACGCAATAAGACGCAACGATAAGTAGTGAGGCCTAAACCGAGGGAACGGCACACGCACGAATTGTCTATCGCTCGAAAAGGAGCGGTTTGTTCTGCTAGAATGGTATTTGTACCAGACATGATATGGGTCAGGTCAGCAGCAGCAGCAGCAGCACGCAGCACAGCAACAACATGGTGGCAACGTGGCTCTCGCATGATATGGCTCTCTGTGAACGGAATGGAACAGATGGGATGGAGGAGGCTGGTGGGGCATGGAATGGGGGTTCCTGCCTCGTCTCGCGTGACTCGTCTGGTTTGGTTGGGTGCCCTGCTTTGTTGGTCGCTTGCAGGCGACACCATCCCAAGAACCCCTGATAGAATCAATAAGCTTAATAAAGCACCCTCGGGGGGAGGATGTACTTGAGTGTACACTGCGCTGTCGTTAAATATTGGAGTTTGATTTCAACCCTCGAGACTGCAGATCCCAATGCCCAGCGTCTTGGACGTGATTGGGCTGTCACTTGCGAGCCGGCTAGCCTTCATCACAACGCGCAACTGTAAATTTGTGGCCAATCACGAAACCTTCTTAGTATCAGCCTCGACTTTAGGTTGTGGTAAACTGTACTCGAGATCAGCTGTCGTCATAATGTGGCATTTGCATGTCCTCCTAATCAAAGCTTGCCTTCCCATCACCCCCACCTACCACTCCCACTGGGGCTCGTTACTCGTTGCAACAGTTGCCTCTGGAACCATAGGCACCTAGGTAGTATCTGCGCCTCCCGCTTGTCGGATTTAGCTCCCCCCGCTCGCTTCGCAGCCCTGTGGTGGCAACAGTTGTCAGTCGATCACTCTGGGTCAAGGGACAGGAATATATATGATGAGTGCGCGGTCACTATCAGCCATGGCGTCTTCATAGTAATTCGCTTTTTTGGCAAGTGGCGCAGGTACCCTTTTCTGACATGGCCCCATGCCGTCGGCTCGCGCTTTCGACATGTGCGGGGCGTAGCAGAATGAAATGCATGGCAACGTTATCTCTCGCTTTCCTCCTCTTGTGCGCGTTGAATCCCTCGCATGGTCTTGTCGCCCGCTCTCCCCGCTCTCCGATCTCCACGCCAGCCGCCGTATCGACAAGCGACGCACCCGATGCGCGTTCTTCCCTCCTCTCCAACTCGGCTCTCTCCTCCCACGACTTCGACTCCGCGTTGAATTCGGAGATTACACCTGAAGGCGCTAGAATTAGCACCGGGACTCGTGCCGGAATTTACGCTGACAATGGCCGTAGACAAGCGACACCTAATCAACAATTCGTTGGCGCAGACGTCGCGGGCGCACGCCGCCGATTGCTCGGAAGGGGGAGGGGCGGAGGGGGAGGGGGCCGAGAGGGCGGAGATCGCCCTGCGGAGCTAACGATCTTCACTGCGCCACGACCGTTCGATGGACCGGCAGGCACGATCCAACGGCTCGCGATAATCTCCTGGCTTTGCATCGAACCCGCGCCTGTGATCTACCTCCTGGGCAACCACCCGTCGTTTAAAGAAGCCGAAACGGACCCGCTTTTTGCGGGCCACGTGTTAGCGGATCCTTACGTGGACGCCGATCTATACGGTCAGCCGCTCTTTAACTCCATGCTCGCTCGAGCCATGGCGGCTCCCACGCGCTTCGTCGCTATTGTCCGCCCGTCGGCGCTCCTCTCGCCAAGCATCTTTACCGCCGCACTTGCCGCTGAAGCGCGCTTTGGCAACTTCTTGCTGCTAGCGCCGGAGCGCGGGCGCCGGGGGGACGCGGAGGCAGTCTCTGCGGCGGCCGCGGCGGCGGTTGCGCAAGTGGGCGGAAGCGAGGCGGCGGAGCAGCGCATGGACACGTCGATAGCGGTGGATGCTGCGAAGCTGGGGGAGGCTGCGCGGCGGATGGGGGATATTAGTTCGCGGTCTAAAGTGGGGGTATGGCTGTGGAATATCTCGCCCGCGCCGCTCTGTTCGTCCAACAATACTCTTTCCGCCACCGCCGCTGATGCGCGCGCGTGTTTTGTTCCGCCATTCGCCTACGACCGCGGATTCCACGACGTCTGGCTCGCGCGCGCAGCTCTCCGCGGGTCCTCTGCCGCCGCCTCTTCCGCCAGTGGGGGGGCAGATGCGGGGAGCAGCGGAACGGCAGGGCGGCCATTGCTGGCGGATGCGGACGGCGGGGCGTTTGCGTGCATATCCGCGCGGGCTTTAATCCCCAAAGATGTACTTTCTAGCGCTTCCGCCGCCCCTGTCGATTCCGCTCAGACGGGGGGCGCGGGGGGCGGGAGCGGACAGGGCGATCAGGGGGAAGCGGGGTTTGAGGTTTTAGCGGAGGAGCTGCGCAAGTGGGGAATTTCTGTGACTGTGCAGGCCCTGATTCCTCCAATAAAATCCCCAGTACGGGAAGAGAAGAAAATAGTTCGGCGAACGTGGAGAGGAACAGTGGTGGAGGAGGCAGTAGCGCATCAGGAGAGTTTAGAGGAGGCTGGCGCGCTGCTGCCCGCGCTGAGAATTTGGAGCTGCCCGTTTGGGCGCGGGCAGGGGGACTGCGAGGAGCAGCAGGAGGGGCGGAGGCGGAATCCGCACAAACAGGTGGTTGTGAACTGGGAGCTAGTGCAGCAGTGGAAGCAGGGCGGAGAGGGCGCGGCAGGGGGAGCGGGAGGCGCGGGAGGCGCGGGTGGCGCTGGTGGTGGTGGTGGTGGTGGTGGTGATGGTGGTGGTGGTGGTGGTGGTGGTGGTGCAGGAGTGTGTGATTCCGCGTGGGTGGTCGTGCCGTGCGATGGGCGGCAATCTGACAGCAGTCGAGGTAGATTGAATGGACGCCTGCTTTTCTGTTTCTCCTGCTCCGCCCCCCCTTCCCCCCTCCCCCCCCCCCGCACACACACACTCATCCTGCTCCTGCCCCTTCCCTGACACTCATTTCACTGGAAATTCAGCCAAGGCTCACACTCACCAGTCACCTCACTCTCCTCCTTTTCACCCCACACCTCTCAAATCCCCCTCACCTCATCTTCTCCCCTCTCCCCTCCCCCATCTCCCTCTCTCCCCTCCCCGCTCTCTCCCCCCCCCAGTGTGCTTCTCCCCCTCCGCCTGCTGCCAGCAGGGCCCCACCATCGCCCTCACTCCCCCCACCAACCCCAACACCCCCTCCTCCTCCTCCTCCTCCTCCTTCTCCTCCTTCTCCTCAGTCCTCACCTCCGTCTTCTCCTCCTCCACCACCTCCTCCCTCTCCTCCCCCTCCTCCTCCTCCCTATCCCCCGAGCATCCCTCCGCCCACTGGCTGTGCGCCATGGCGTCAACAGCAGCAGGCAGCAGCGGGTTCGGGGCGTCAGGGGGCCTCCTGCACGTGCACTCCTCCGGCTACCTCCCCCCAGACCACAACCCCGCCACCCACCAAAGCCTCATCGACAGCACCCCTACCTTAGACAGCACCAGCACCACCAGCACCACCAGCACCACCAGCACCAGCAGCAGCAGCAGCAGCAGCACTTTTCCCACCAGCAGCGGGGCGGAGCTACAGCGCAGGGGTCTCGACGACCTCCTCCCTCTGACCGTCGACCATCGCAACATAGTCATTCTCGTCGCCGCCACCGGCTCTTACTCTTCCATGCTCATGTCCTTCGTCTGCAATCTCCGCCGCCTGCTCCTCCCGCTCCCCCTCATCGCAGCCTTCGACGACCACATGTTCCGCTTCGCCTCCCTCCACGGCCTCCCGGTCTTCCGCGCTGACACCGGCCCCGCCGGCCGCGACCCCTCCTGCGCCTACGGCACCAAGTGCTTCCAGCGCATCACCAAAGTCAAGTCCAAGGCTGTCCTACAGGTCCTCAAACGCGGTATCCACGTGCTGTGGTCTGATGTAGACATAGTCTGGTTCCGCGACCCGCTGCCAGAGCTCCTGGAATTCGGCTCGGGGGTTCTCCCTGTACAGAGCGACGCAGGATACGACAAGGAGCCTCCCAACGGGCAGGGGATCACGTCCCCTCACGGGTTCATCAACTCGGGATTCTACTTCGCTCGTGCCGAGCCCATGGTTATCCAGGCCTTTGAAGCGATTGTAGCCCACGCTGCAACGACTAAGACGTCTGAACAGCCGAGTTTCTACCACGTTCTGTGCGGGCCGAACGGGGAGAACACGGAGGGCGAGGACGAGTGCGTGTGGCCGGGGAACGGGCTGCGAGTTCACTTCATGGACCGCTGGTTGCATCCCAACGGGTTGTCCCACCGCGTGTGGTTCCGCAAGTGGCCGGCGTTAGAGTGCCGCAAGCACAAGTGCGCCACGCTGCACAACAACTGGGTGCGGGGGAAGGAGAACAAGCTCGCGCGGCTTCGCAAGGGCGGGCTGTGGTTCTATGACCCGGACAACGACATGTGTAGATACAACTGGTATTATCAGACCGAGGGGATGAGGCGCGAGGAAGGCACGTACCTTGGGGTGAAGGACTGACTGACTGATTGGTTGGTCCGTGGCTCTCTGGTTCACACTTCAGGCCCAGTGCTTGCCTACTGCGGATTTGTTAGAATCATGTCGTGGGATGAATGATCAAGTAGTGAAATCTCCACCCGTAGTTGCTTTGGAGTCAGTTTGCCATCCATGTTAGTCATACTTTCGTATATGAAGGTAATGGTGCACATACACACGTACTTACATACGGTACATGGAGATGGGATGGGCTGTATCTCTGTCCCAAATTGTTAGAATAGTAGGCTTAGGAGAAATTAGGTTTTAGGAAGAGAGAGGATGTTTGGCCAAGCAAGAAGGGGTTTGACTATGGAGAGAGTTACAAGAAATAGGGCAAGGGAAGGTGGCCAAGGGGGGGTTTACCACCAACAATGAAATAGATACTACACTAACTAAGCTAATATGCAGTTATACATAGAAATACAATTTCTGACATCCCCCCTTAACTGCATACAAGCATAGCTAGTGAGGGGCGCTCTACCCTAAGTGCAGACTTCACCGGGCCGCAGCTGGGCCCACCGATACAACACACGATGGAGTTTCCCGCCTGCGGTTTAACCCCCGCAGTGGATGCCTGGTGTGCGCGACTCTGGGTGACCACGCCCAGAAACGACGGAGAAAAGGAACGAACGACGAGGCGACGATAAAACATTTAGAAAGTAGAAAACAGAAAAGAAGACACCCTTTCTCTCTCTCTCTCTCTCATCCCCCCTTAACCTCTCCTCTCCCCCCCCCCCTCCTCCTACAGCAACTAGTGCTGCAGGAAGAGAGGAAGAGAGAGGGGAGGGACGGGTTGCTGGAGGCTCACACCCGCCACCCCCACATCTCCCCTTCCCCCTCCCCCCCCCCCCCCCCCCATGACGGAAGCCGCAGAAGGGAGGGCGGGGGGGTGGGGCGGCGGTAGCTGCTGCTGGTGCTGGCGGTGGCGCTGGCGCAGGCGCTGGCCGTTGCTCCGGCGCCTAGCGCCGACGTCCGCGCTGGCAGGGCACGCGCGGGGCGACGGGCAGAGCACGCGCGGGGCAGCCGACGAAGCGCACGCGGGGCGACGGGCAGAGCGCGCGCGGGGCAGGGCGTCCGCGGGGCAGCCAACGAGGCGCACGCGAAGCCGCGGACGGGACGCGCGCAGGGCGACGGGCAGAGCGTCCGCGGGGCAGCCGACGGGGCGTCCGCGAGGCAGCCGACGTGGCACGTTCGGGGGGACGGGCAGGGCGCGCGTGACGGGCGAACGGGAAAAAAAATAGCGCATTTCGCGCTGTAGTACGGGCGGGCCCATGATTCTTAAAAATAAAATAGAACCTAAGACCGTAGTGGCTCTGATAGCATGTTAGAATAGTAGGCTTAGGAGAAATTAGGTTTTAGGAAGAGAGAGGATGTTTGGCCAAGCAAGAAGGGGTTTGACTATGGAGAGAGTTACAAGAAATAGGGCAAGGGAAGGTGGCCAAGGGGGGTATACCACCAACAATGAAATAGATACTACACTAACTAAGCTAATATGCAGTTATACATAGAAATACAATTTCTGACACAAATGCCTATTTTTATTCCCCAAAAAACGCCTATACCCTATGGTATTCCTAGGCAGCCATGCATCACTCCGCTTGCATGTTGAGTACCAGGTTGGGTCCCCAGCCCTCACCTTCGGCGTCCAATGATCCTGACCAACCTTCTTCATCAATCCTACCGCATACAGTCTTCATTGCCACTCCAAGGTCCCGCTGCAACTCTCCACTCCCCACCATCCTGACTCCCTTGCTTCCATCCTCCCTCCCTCCATCTCACCGCGCCACATCCAAGCCCTCGATCCCACACCGGCAGAAAGGACAAACAGGGCTGGGCGGCAGGGCCACGTGCGAGTTTGGCTTGGCGTGAGCCAGCAGGGAGAGCACACACGTGGGGCACAGGCGGTGCGCACAGGGCAGCAGCGCCAGCAAATACCCAGGTGAGGACTGAGGGAGGCCGCCACAGGGCGAGAGTGGAGGGGAGAGAGTGTAAGAGTGAGTGTGTGTGGTCAGGTTGCTGCTGCTGCTACCGGTACTAATCATGCAGAGAGGTACGCTGGAGAAGGGACTGGTGGTGGTGCTGCTGCCCTGCCCGCTGACAGGGGATGAAACACTCAAAGGAGACGAACACATGCTGAAGGGAGAAGCCATGCCACTGCTGCTGCAGCCACTGCTGCCAGTCTTGATGCTGCCACTGCTGTTGTTCCCACCGCTGCCACTGTTGCCACCGTTGCTCTGGTAATGCGGAAGAACAGCGCACGGCTCGCAGCAAATGAGGCACACGCTGCCATCGGCCTCCCCTCCGCTCCCCCTCCGGCTCCCATCACCCCCCACCTCCAGCTCTCCACCCCCCCGTGCCACCACCTCCTCCACCCTCCCCACCTGCTCCACTGCCATCCCTCTCACTCCATCACCTCCACTCTGCTCCGTTTCCTCTGCTCTTACTCCCTCCTGCTCCTCCTGTCTTGCCATCATTGTCAAGTCGCCCACTGTGCGCCCACCCTGCTCTCCCCTTGTGTGCTCTGACTGTTCCCCCACCACGCTGCTCCCCTCCTGCTGCTCCGCGCTCTCTGCTCCGCCCTGTCTGTTCCCCATCTCTCCGCCTTCTCCTCCCTCCCCTGCGCTCCCTTCTTCCACCTCCCCATCCAATCCGCCTCCTCCCACACGCTCCACCTGCTTCAGGCCACCACTCACTCCTCCCTCTCCCTCCTCCCCTCCTTCCCCTCCCTGTCTTTCCTCCTCTCTCTTTTGACCCAACTCAAACATCCGCCCTATTCCCGACTCCACCACACCCACGCCATCTCCCATTTCTCTATCAACCCTCCCACACTCGCCATCGTCTCCTTCCTTCCTCTCCTCCTCTCTCGTCCTCCCAGTCCCGCCTCCACTGCAGCATTGCCCTGCTCTCCCCTCCCCGTTCCCGCTCTCCGCCTCTACGATCCCCGCGGTACCCTGCTCTGCCACGTGCTGGCACTCGTCATGCGCCCCTAACCCCTCACTCCCCTCCCCGCCCCTGCTGCTATCCACCCAATTCTTTCTCCCGGCATTCCCACCACCACCACCACCACCATCTGCGCCGCCACCACCACCAATCGTACCGTCGCCTCTGCTACCGCTGCCACCACCACCAGGAATGTCACAAAGCTGTTCACTCACCCCATCCTCTCTGCTTTTCATGCCGCTCGCTTTCATTTCCTTCTTCTCCCGCTTCTCTTCGCCGCGCCCTGCTCCCCCTTCCCCTTCCGCCTCCTCCCCCCCCGCCTGCGCCAGCGCAGCGCGGAGCAGCCAGACCACGTGCGGGGGCGCGCGCGCGAGCAGCTGCGCCCAGGGGGAGGGCCACACCAGGGGCGCGGGGGACTTAGGGTTCAGCAGCGCCACCACGCGCTTGAAATCGCAGCGTGGGGGCACGGCGCCAGCTCCACCACTGGCGCCTCTCTTCCCCGCACCTGCGCGTCCACTGCCGCGCCTCTCCGCGCGCACGCCCTTCTCCGCGAGTGCTTTCTTCCCCGCTTCTGCGCACGATTTCCATCCGCGCTCCCGCTCCGCGCGCACCGCCAGGGCGTGGGGGGTCAGCTTGGAGTGGTTAAGCGCGGTTCTGTCCGCGCCCCACGCCAGCAGCGCCAGCACCGTCCCGACGCTCCCGCTCCGCGCGGCCATGTGTAGCGCGTGGTTGCCGGGACTGCCGAAAGTATAGGGTCGATGTTTCAAACGATGGGATCAGAATTAGGGAATGCCGCCGGGTTGCGGCTGAGTTACAAATGACGCAGCTACAGATGCAGTTACAGTTACAGTTACTCACGCGTGGCCCGTTGACGCCGTCGTGATGCTGACCGCCGCGCCCTCCCGCAGCAACACGCGCACCGCGCCCTCCGCACCCGCCGCTGCCGCCAGGTGCAGAGCCGTGCACCCCGTGGCGTCACGCGCGTTGACGAAGCGAAGGTAGCCCCTGGAGAGGAGTGCGACGAGCGACGAGCGACGAACGGCGAACAACGAGCCATGAGCGACCAAGGGCGGGAAGTGTGATGAGTAGTGGTAAGAAGCCGTTCCTCACGACGGCAATGTCGAAAAAATTGGAGACGGCAACAAAGTCCGAAGCGAAGGATCAGTGGAAAAAGGAAGAGATTGCGCAGCAAGACGACGACGATAGTCATCATTATAAATGTCATCACCATAAATGTCATCATTGTCTTACCACGAGTCGCGCAGTTCGTGCGACGCCTTGGCCGCCACTAAGACGGCCTCAACGCACTCCGCGCTGCCCGCTCGAGCCGCCATATGCAGGCACGAGCGCGCACTGGTCTTGTCGAATCGCAGCACCTGCGGGGAGAGAGGCAGAGGGAGAAAGGGGGAGCTTGGGTAATTACATTATTATAACGATTTCGAGGTTTAAAATTCTAAAAATTTCCACGTTTGCTTTTAAAGAACCGCGAATGAGAAAAGCATTGCACGACGCAGCGAGACAGGATGGAAATCGAGGAAAAGAGCGGGAAAGCGGATCGGCGGCATACCGAGGCGTCATTGATCAGCAGCAGCGTGACGACCGCCACGTGGCCACCTCTCGCTGCCGCCATTAGCGGGGTCTGCACCCACGGGGTCACGCAAGGGACAGCCGACGCGCAAGACAGGGTGAGCGGGCGTTCAAGAGCAGACCTAATTACAATACGTTCTTGTTCAATCTGGTCGAGCGTATGGGGTACGGTGGATGAATGACGCAGAGACACACCTTGCCTGTAGAGCAGCAGCCATTTCTGTCCTCTCCGCTTGCCAAAAGCCGTGCTACGAGCTGCGAACGACGAAACAAGGCAATAAGTAGGAGTTAACGCCGGTTGCTAAGGGGAATGTGGATTTGATTTCCAAGGCGTTTCAAAGGGGAGATGATAGAGGATCTACCCACCTCGACATTTCCGGCAGCAGCGGCAGCGATCATGGGGTTGCGACGGGAGGACATCATGCTGCCGACTGTTGCGGATCGCTCTCTCGCAATAAGCTGCGCCACAGATCCGCTGCTGCTTCTTCCCGACACCACACTCGCCCTTTCACGCGATCGCTTGTCTGCTGGCCTGCTCTCGCTGTTTCCCATAACGATGGGTCGAATTCGAAAAAAATGCGTACGGAAATGGAACTCGAGACTCAGCAGCAAGGGAGTATTCACGTGAGATGGCTAGGCTGAACGGCGTATGTCTATTGTTTTACGTCGCGCGGATGGGTCTAACAGACAAGCAACGTTTCCTAGACTGACGGTTCTGCCGTGCCTCGTTATGCCGGACTGCTGACCTATGCGGGGGATTTACTCCAGGAAAACCAAGAATCCAGACGCGCTGACCAACATCCTACAACCACAACGCTTGTGGGACTGAATCATCTGTCACACCATGCCCAGCTTCTCTGTCACATGAGAACCGAACCGAAGGGCTGGTGCAGTGTTGTTGGGCTGGTCTGGGGTGGATTTGGGTTGGGTTGAGCTGGGCAACCATGTCTGCCGATGTGCGGCAGCAAGGGGTGTCGGACGCCGCAGCGCGAGCTCCTTTCGGGGCAAATTTGCGTCGCGGACCCAGGAGGCGCTGCGCGGGTTTACGATGCTGACATCCGCAAAGCAATGCAGCAGATTGCAGACCAGACCCAAAAGCAAATTGCGACGCGTGACCCTACATCGGAATTGCCTTTTTGACATTGGCTTAGGATATTGGCTTTTTAAGAATTTATAAATAGTAATTAACCGTATTGCACTGCAATTTTCCTAAACTATAATTCATTGTGTTTTTCTAACCCATGGTGACCCATTTCTACAGTATCACAGTGAAAAGAATTTCATATCAGCTGTTTACGACACTAAGTTTAGGAGACAAATGTTGCCTCTCTATTTTTTGCTGTATGAATGGATAAAAATATTTTTTTCACGCATTATTGGAAGTTTATTTTTTTGAAAAAAGTGCATGGTTTAATCAATATAGAGGATAGAACTAAATTTGGAAAAAAGAACAGTAGGGTTATAGTGTGCGGTGTACAGCTAACGGAAGGCAATAACTGGAGTCTTGGGTCTTACTGTTGGGGGAACATAGACTACATATCCTGTAACAAGGGCAACCTTTCTCGCTGAAATTCGCTTCGACTCTCAGGGGCGGCTGACGTCACTCTTCGTGCCCCTTCGTTGAAATTAGCGGAATTTGATTGGTTCGTCGTTTCATGGATTCTGACGCGGTCTGACAGGGGGCTCTTGTCGAACCTACTTCTTACCCAATCGGACCATTCCGCGCCTTTGTTCGGACACTTGGGATCCGCTCGAGAGTCAAAATGCTCAAAGTTTCCCTCCAACGAATATCTTTCCCTTGCGTCTGGCTGTGGTCCCTACTTGCCCATTTGTAGTTCGCGCCGAAACTGCACGTCGCCGGACCTAACACCCTTAGCCGTAACCTATTAGCTGCACGGCGCCGAACCAGACCGAGCCAATGCATATCGAGGAGCCGCGCCCCGGTCTGACCCCGCCTATCGTTCCGGCCCGGTGACGAGCTGGCACAACGGAGGTCCGTCAAACTTCTCACCACGTCGCAAGGTGTCGCTGGTTCTTGCTTCTCCGTGCTCGCTTGAAACAACACGTCGCACTTTCCCCCAAGCCTCACTACTACTTCAGTTCCTCCCCCTCTCTCAACTCTTCAATCCCAGATCTGCGCTTATTCCTCTCCCGTGATCTTTTGGACCTCTGCTCAGTCCGCTGGTTTAGCTTGGCTAGGCCATCCGTTAGGTACCAGGGGCACAAGAGCCTGGCGCAGCATTTTGCAACAGTTCTTTCCCGTCAACTGCGCTAGCCACCATGGCTTCGGCAACCGGAGAACCCAGACCTGCAGAAGAAATGCCTTCAGCTGCTCAAGCTTACATGGAGCCAGAGGAGGGATCTCGCCGTGTTCTCCCAGATTTCCTTCAGAGCGTGAGCATTGGTCACGTGAAGCTTGGTTACCACTACCTGGTTACGCACGGTCTGCCAATGCTTCTCGTTCCCATTATCGCATCGATCGCGCTCCAGGTTTCCCGCGTCACCTCCGACGATCTGAATCTCATCTGGGACAGCGTTCAGCTAAATCTGATCCCGGTGGTCGCGTGCCTGTCACTTGCCGTCTTCGCTCTCACAGTCTATTTAATGCTGCGCTCTCGACCCGTTTACCTGGTCGACTTCGCGTGCTTCAAGCCGCCGGAATCGCTCGCCATGACCATCAAAGGCGCGCTGGAGCACGCGAAGAACATCGGGCGGTTCGATGAAAAGTGCCTTGAGTTCCAGGCTAAGGTTCTCGAGCGCGCGGGACTTGGCGACCGCACATGCCTGCCTCCTGGTTTCGTGAACCTCCCTCTCAACCAATCGCTTGGCGAGGCGCGGAACGAGGCCGAGATGGTGATCTTCGGCGCGTTGGACGAGCTGTTCGCGAAGACCAAGCTCAAGCCTCGCGACATTGACATCCTCATCGTGAACTGCAGCGTCTTCTGCCCGACGCCGTCGCTCTCCGCCATGATCATTAACAAGTACAAGATGCGCAGCAACATTCGGTCGTTCAACCTCGGCGGTATGGGCTGCAGCGCGGGAGTCATCTCTGTTGATCTGGCTCGCGACCTGCTCCAGGTGCACGGGAACTCGTATGCCGTGGTGGTTTCCACCGAGAACACCACTCAGCAGCTCTACTTCGGCAACAGAAAGTCCATGCTCATTCCCAACTGCATCTTCCGCATCGGCGCCGCCGCGCTGCTCCTGACGAACAAGAACAGCGAGAGCTGGCGCGCCAAGTACAAGCTGCAGCACCTGGTGCGCACGCACATGGGCGCCAACAACAAGCACTACCAGTGCGTGTTCCAGGAGGAGGACGATCAGAAGATCGTGGGCGTGTCGCTGTCGCGCGATCTCATGGCCGTCGCAGGCGAGGCGCTCAAAACCAACATCACGACGCTGGGCCCTCTGGTGCTGCCGCTGTCGGAGCAGCTGCTGTTCGCCGCCGTGCTCATCGCGCGCAAGGTGTTCCGCATGAAGCTCAAGCCGTACATTCCGGACTTCAAGCTCGCGTTCGAGCACTTCTGCATCCATGCGGGCGGCCGCGCGGTGCTGGACGAGCTGGAGAAGAACCTGGAGCTGACGCCGTGGCACATCGAGCCGTCGCGCATGACGCTGTACCGCTTCGGCAACACGTCGTCGTCGTCCGTGTGGTACGAGCTGTCGTACACCGAGGCCAAGGGCCGCGTGCGACGCGGCGATCGCGTGTGGCAGATCGCGTTCGGGTCCGGGTTCAAGTGCAACAGCGCCGTGTGGAAGGCGCTGAGGACGGTGCGAGCGGATAAGAACCTGGGCCCCTGGGACGACTGCATTGACCAGATGCCAGCTAAGCTTAACTTTTAGAATGCTGCAGACAAGGAACCCGGCGTTTGAATGAGCAAGTCCTCAGGAGAAACGGGTCAGCGGCTTGGACGAGTCGGTTTGTGTTGTGAGCTGGCTCCGGTTTGTGAAACGGAATGTAGGGTGAGGACAGAGCGGCGGAGGAGAGTCTGTGACCTCGCTTATTTCACCCACACGTCTTTCCTTACTGCACCTGTTCAACTGCAAGTCACTGCACCCAGGCATGGTCACATATTTTGTGGTGCTGGTGGCACATGTGAAGCTTCTGAGAGCCTGGTATGGTGGGCCATACTAGGAGTGAGACGCTGATGTTTGGTTTCTGTTTCGCTGGGTCGCAATCGTGCCAGACCCTTTTTTTCCTAGTTTAGACTTCTTTTGCCGTTTTTGCTTTACTGTTTAGGTTAGGGTAGAATTTCTAGAGACTTCTGCTTTCATCTTCTCAAGCCACATTCATGGCATTATATATATCAATGCTGACAGCAATTCTTTTTAACAATCATATCAAATGCTCCTCCTTCATATGCTTGGACCGGGAAAGTAGAGAAACCATGCATCCTATGGAATGCACCTCCTTATTTTGGATTTCAAGCTGCAGCAATTAGATATCGGCCAAATGAGCTGAGGCAGGGAAGTACTCGGAGAAGACCCGAATCGCAACTTTGCAAAGTGCACTCGGAAGCATAGGCATGATTTCTGAGGGCGTGTAAAATCGGCGTGCATTTTAAATAATGGGCTTTGGCCGGGTTTTTGTCGACCAAAATGGTCGACACTTCTTTCGCACATGTCGACCTGATGGCCGAATTAGAGTCGACCAGTATTTGCAGGTCTGCAAATTTTACAACTTTGCAGGCCGAATTGCTGGCCGACTCCAGAAAACTTGTAAAATTTGCAAGTGCTACAGTAGGAACGTTTGTGCGACGGGGTCGCACATATGACGGCGAAGTCTCTGATTCGACAAGAGAAAATAATCTGTCGTTCTGCGAGACTGTGCGACGTCGCACATGACAGTCGCTCAAGGAGTCGACTACTTGGCCGAATTGGAGTCGACATGGTGTCGAATTCGAGTCGACTTTCAAAACGGCCATCAATTTCGTTTTTTATTCGCGAAATTTGCGATGGTCGCGAGCGTCTTCGTGAAACTCGCAAACGGGTTACTTTCGCCAATTCGGCCATTCGGCTTGTGGCCGAATTTTTAGGTGCAGCGATTTTACACGCCCTGAAGTTGAATTCTGTGCATTATTAATTTATCTTCTTACGGGCTTACAGTTGTCTTATCACAATCACCAGCATCAACCATAGTGCCATGTGAACGCGAACATATGGCCGCGTTCGGCGGCCGCATCAGAGCCTGATGCGCCCTAGGCTCGGCAAATTGACAAATTGAAAAATTGAGGCTCGGTAATGTCCAAATTGAAATTAGGAAATGGAGGTTCGGAAAATGGACACGCAGGTTCGGGAAATCGGAAATTGGGGATGTCGAATTTCGGGCATGTCAAATTTCGACCCCAAAATTCCGACGAATTCTAGGGTGTTGAGCTTTCATCGAAGTGGGGAAGAACGCACCTGGCGCCTTCCCCACATGCATGATGCGCTGTTCAATTGCCCCAATTCGAGCTGATGCGCGCATCATGCGTGTTTAGGGCGTTGCATCATGCGCGCATCAAGGATGCGTCAGATTGCTAGTACGCTGTATTTCCTGGAAAGCGGCGACATGCAAATTTGTGGTTGCCAAAAAGACCGTTCTGCAGGCATTCGGGCTTGGTCTGCCTCGGCAGCCAAGCGCTTATCACGAACCTTGATAGCCTTTCGGCTGGTTATCACGGAAGGCTCCTGGAACATCGAAAAAAATGTGCAATGTACATTGGTGCGGGCTAATGCGGCCGCCGAACGCAGCCTATGTGTATATCAGGTTAAGAGTACCACATCTAGATCATCATGTCATGTACAAGTTCAAAGAGCCGTCAAGCGAACCTTGGTGCCCTCGTCTTCGCCCTGAGACCCTGTCAGTTGTCGCCTGTCGTCGTCTCTGCCAAATTCCAAGGTCGAGCCGGGCGACAGAGGACCCGTGCGACAAGGGAAGCTGTGCTCTGCCCATGTGTGCGTTACCGCGCCAAACTGACCGAGCCTCCGTTTTCACCCTGCCCCCTGCTCCAACCAAACTGGTAATCTCCAGGCCAAGCCGAACCGAGCCGCCTCGCTTTCTGCGGTCTCGGAAGGGAAGAAAATCCCAAGGCGCGATGGCGTGGAACAATCCCAAGAAATTCACCCGAATCCAGCGGCCCACACCTCCCCCCTACGGGGTAGAGTCTGCGGGGTTGTTTCGTGGTATGGGGATGGGGACAGCACCACAAAAACAAGCCAACAGATAAGAGAGGAGGTCGAATTCCTGCTTTCACGTTCCGTTGGCAGATTTACTGATCGTACATTTAGAGTAGTCTGATAGAAGCTGATAAAGTTTTCTCTGAGCCCGAGATAGTAAAACAACTCAAGATGCCATCACGCGATCGAGGAGGGCCAGGCTGGCAGCTGCTTGCCATGGTTTGCGCGTTCGTTATCGGCCTCGCGGTCCTCGCTTGCTCCAGGCAACACGACGGCCCATGCCCCATCAGTCGCGCACTCGCGTCGCTTCTCGGCAAACCTCCCATGTCCGATGAACCCCTGCTCACGCCGACCGGCCCGCGCTTCGTCGATCTACCGCTACTGAGCAATCCGGTGTCTGATAACGCGGATGTGTCTGACGAATTCACTCACAATCGTCTGATCCTGCTCACGGCTGACAGCAACGCTAAGGAGATGGAGGAGGTGCCGGTTCCCACTGGCACGCGAGACCGCAAGGCCTCCCGCCGCGCCTTGCCGCTGCGCCGATTCCTCAACCAGGTGCGGTACAACCTGGCGGAAGCGGCGCAGGCGGCGCGCATCTTCGAGCCGTGCGACGCCTCCTTCACCGACCACACGCCGTGCGAAGATCCCGAACGCGCGAAGCGCTTCCCCAAGACAGCCATGATGCACCACGAGCGGCACTGCCCGGCCGTGCGCGAGGTGAAGCAGTGCCTCATTCCGCCGCCCGTCGGCTACAAGACGCCGCTCCCCTGGCCGCAGAGCCGCGTGGAAGCGTGGTACGTGAACGTGCCGCACAAGCACTTGACGACGGCGAAGGCGGACCAGCACTGGATCCAGTACGAGGAAGAGACGGAGAAGTTTCTGTTCCCTGGCGGCGGGACGATGTTCCACGACGGCGCCGATGCTTACATCGAGGAGCTCGGGAAGATTATTCCGCTCACGGACGGCTCGATTCGCACCGCGCTCGACACAGGCTGCGGGGTACGCACGCGCCATTGTGCTCGCCTTTTTCAGTCGATACTTGCTTTACGAATTCGAGCTACAGACGAATCTTACGCTTGCAGATCAAGTCGACTTCCATGGATCCAATCTAATGTAAGTCTTTCTTCTTCTTCTTTCATTCCCCTTGTTTATTTATCCCCCCCTCTTCCGCCTCGGCTCCTTCCCCACGCAGGTTGGCAGCTTCGGCGCGTACATGCTGAACCGCGGCATTCTGACCATGTCGCTGGCGCCGCGCGACGGGCACGAGGCGCAGGTGCAGTTTGCGCTGGAGCGCGGGCTGCCCGCCATGATCGGCGTGCTGGCCACGAAGCGCCTGCCGTACCCGCCGCGCTCCTTCGACCTCGCGCACTGCTCGCGCTGCCTCATCCCGTGGGCCCGCGAAGGTACGAGAGTTCAACATTATAGGGTGAGGGTGGGAGATGGGAAGGGGAGGAGAGGTTGGTGGAGGGTGAGGGGATGAGGGGTGGCGGTGAAGGGGAGGGGACTGGGGGGCAGGGGCAAAGGTGAGCTTTTGAGAGGAGGAGGGTAACGAAACACGTGAAAAAAAGCTGGTACCGCTTCGCACCGATTTTAACACGCCAACTACCCGCCCCTCCCTTCTCCCTTTTCCCCTTTGCGCAGATGGGCGCCTCCTGGCGGAAATCGACCGCGTGCTGCGCCCGGGCGGCTTCTGGGTGCTGACAGGCCCGCCCATTTACTGGAAGCACTACGCCAGCGGGTGGAACCGCCCCGAGGCGGACCTTGCGGCGGAGCAGGCGGAGATTGAGCGCACGGCGGAGAGCCTGTGCTGGCGGAAATTCGCGGAGAAGGGCATGTTCGCGGTGTGGCAGAAGCCGCTCGACGGGGAGTGCCTCAAGGGGAAGGCGGCGGAAGGGAACAGTGTTCCGCCCATGTGCCCCGTGGCGGCGGACCCGGACCTGTCGTGGTATACCCCCATGCCCGCGTGCCTGACCCCCGTGCCGGCCGTCACTGACGCGGACGGCGTTCCTGGCGGCAAGCCGGCGAACTGGCCGGAAAGGCTGATGGCCGTTCCGCCCCGCATCGCGCTGAACCTCGTTCCCGCGGCGGCCGCTCCCGTCGACGCGGCGGACGGGGCGGAGATGGTTCTGGGCAACGGCGGCGCGGGCGCCGATGCGCTGGCGTCCGCGGACGGGTTCCGCGCGGACACGGAGGAGTGGCGGCGCCGCGTGCGGTGGTACAAGGAGAAGCTCCTCCCGGAGCTGGGGCAGGGTCGCTACCGCAACATCATGGACATGAACGCGCGCGACGGCGGCTTCGCGGCGGCGCTGGCGGAAGCGGACGACCCCGTGTGGGTGATGAACGTGGTGCCCGTGGAGCGCGGAACCGCCATCGGCGCGGACGGGGAGCCGCCGGCGGGCGCGGGCGCGGGCGTGGAGGCCGTCGCGACTTCCCCCGCTTCGGTGGCGTTTTCGGCGGTGGACACGTTGGGAGTGATCTACGAGCGCGGGCTGCTTGGTTCGTACCAGGACTGGTGCGAAGCGTTCTCGACGTACCCGCGCACGTACGATCTTGTCCACGTGTCGAACCTGTTTTCCAAGTGGGTGAACCGGCCGTGCCCCGTGGAGCACGTGTTGCTGGAGATGGACCGTATATTGCGGCCGGAGGGCGCGGTGCTGATTCACGACGAGTTGCCCGTGCTGCAGCAGCTGCTGCGCCTTGTGCCTGGGCTGCGCTGGGACGCGCGCATTGAGAGCAGCGGCGGGGACGACGGCGCGCAGGGCGAGGCGGTGCTGGTGTGCGCGAAGAAGTACTGGACTGCGGGGTGATTGCGATGTCGTGTGTTCGTCGTGCGCTCGCTGGTAGCACGCACTGGGGGGCTCGGGGTTGAGATGAGGCTGTTTGAAAGGAAGAACGGCATACAGCTGGGAAGGGAGGGCAGGGGCAGGCGCGGAAGGCAGGAAGTCAAGGGGGGACGTCTGCTGAGTTATTTCGAGAGGTGGCTCGTCTGCTTAGATTATATGAGTTGAGATAGAGGCGTGTGTGATGCAAGTAGGTCGTGTTGCCATGGCTGTCAGAATATGGTACAGTTGCACCTCTGAGCTGCCTCAGCTCTAAGTTTCAAGCAAGGCCTAGAGTTTAGTGGTGAGAGATGTAGGTAGATGATTGGGGGAATGCTCTGTTTCCTGTTACCTTAGCGTTGGTTTGACTTCAAAGAATGCGGGACCATCAGGTGCAGCTAACACGGAAGAACTGCAATTCACACCATCTGCCTACAACCAAAGCAATTGGGTGTGCTCCGCACCCATGGACGCACGGTCTACTGCCAATCGTACAAAACTGGCTGGTCTAGGATACAAGACCTCCCCATCCTCCTCCCACGAGCTTCACTGGTTCACTAGGAGCCTTTCCGCCACGGCAGAGCCGCAGGCAGAGCCCTCTTGCAGAGTCCACAGTTGACCTATATTGCACCAACCTTGTTAGGCCCGACGGCCTATGTCCGCTAACGAATTAGCGGGGTCGACTAAGTCGAGGATAAACGCGGCGGAAGACTTTGGCGAAAAGACTATTGGCGAAATAGGCGAAGAAGTAACTGAGTAATTGAAGAAGAGTTGAATGAGAATTGGTTGATAATGCCAAGTACAAGAGGGGTTTATATAGCATGCAAGAAACAAGGTTGGAAAGTGGATTGTGGGACCAAGAATTGGAGTGCAAGAAAAGTAGAGTGCCACGTGGCACTAGAGAACCTGTGAAGAGAAGGATAAGGGTGACTTGGAATGTACTGTTCGGAATGAACAGTAAACACCCCTCTAACACTACCCCCCTCCCAAGGAGGCGACGTCCGCGGCGCCTGCAGACTGAAGGTACGCTTGGAGGCAAGCGTTGTCAGGAGACAGCGAGGACGAAGGGACCCAGCTGTCGTCGGCTGCATCGTAACCACGCCAACGAACCAAGAAGTCGATGAAAGAGACACCCCCCTGGAGACGGCGACGGTGCCTGAGGATGCGCTGGATCTGGTAGTCGGGCTCGTCGGTGTCAACAGCTACCGGCAGTGGAGTGCGATCACGGCCCGAGAAGGTGGCGTTGGGATCGGTGTAAGGACGAAGGAGAGACACGTGGAATGACGGGTGCATGCGGAAATGAGCGGGAAGGCGGAGGCGGTATGCGACTGGACCAAGTGCGCGCTCAATGACAAATGGACCAATGAAACGTGGGCGAAGCTTGCCGTCCTGTGGCAGTCGGAGGTTGCGGCTGTCCAAAAGAACACGGTCGCCAACTGCGAACGACACCTCACGACGACTGCGGTTGGTGGTGCGTGCCATGCGTGCATTTGCAAGCTCAAGGTGCTTCCTCACGTGGTCGTGAATGAAAGTGAGGTGCTGGTGGAAGTTATCAGCACGTGGGACTGTGGGTGTGAGATCGACACGAGTGGGGACATTAGGGTTCTGACCGTACAGTGCGAAGAACGGTGACATGCCTGTGGCGGAGTGGTGCGTGTTGTTGTATGCGAACTCGGCCATGCTCAGCTTCTTGTCCCATGCTGCTGCGTCGTGCATCGTGATGCTGCGAAGGATCTGCTCCAGTGTCTGGTTCACACGCTCAGTCTGTCCGTCTGTCTCTGGATGGTACGCAGACGACATGGCTAAGCGAGTCCCAAACAGTGCGAAAAGCTGCTTCCAGAACTTCGAAGTGAAACGAGGGTCGCGGTCTGAGATGATGGAATCGGGAACCCCGTGCAGTCGGACTACGTTATCTACGAACAGCGTCGCGGCTTCCTCTGCTGTGACCTGGCCGTGCGTGGGGATGAAATGCGCTGCTCGAGAAAACTTATCCACTACCACGAAGATGGCGTCGTGACCCCTAACTGTGCGCGGTAAAGCCATGATGAAATCCACTGTAACTACCTGCCAAGGGCGGTCGGGCGGTGGAATCGGCTGCAAAAGTCCTGCCTTGCGCTGTCGCGAGGACTTCGTACGCTGACACGTGTCGCACGAGCGAACGTAATCCTCTACGTCTGCTGCAAGCCCTGGCCAGAAGTACGTGCGACTAAGCGTCTTAGCCGTCTTATCTGCTCCGAAGTGCCCTGCACTAACTACGTCGTGCGCCTCTGAGAGAAGGAGCTGTCGAAGAGGGCGGTAGGCTGGAACCCAAATCCGTGCTGTACCCTTCCGTATGTAGACACTACCCTGCACCTCTGCTCCTGCGGGCGGCTGCGGTGTGAAGTCGGGATCTACTGTGTAACCGTGCTCGAAAAGTGCCGTGAGAAGTGGATGGCCGGCAGTGACTGTGAGACTAGCGAGCTGGCAACTAGGGCGAGTGAGCGGATCTGCTGGGTTGCGCACGCCTGGCTTGTACTCTATCCTGTAGTGAAAGCTCCCCTCCATGAACTCCATCCATCTAGCCTGGCGACGACTCAGCTGCGGCTGCGACTTGAGAAAGCGAAGCGAACAGTGGTCCGTGCGTATCATACTATCTGCCCCCTCTAGGTGTCAGAATCCCAGTCACTAACCACTGGGATAAAAGGGCTTGTTATAGTAGCGGGTGAGTGCGCCCATAACCCCCCAGGCCAACGTGCCTGTAACCCTTCCCTAGGATCAATCGGGGATCACCAGTGGACCTCTGACACCCCCCCGCACTGGGATGCCCGAGGTGCACACACCGGGATTCGAACCCGAGACCTTCGCTCTGATACCATGTCAGAATCCCAGTCACTAACCACTGGGATAAAAGGGCTTGTTATAGTAGCGGGTGAGTGCGCCCATAACCCCCCAGGCCAACGTGCCTGTAACCCTTCCCTAGGATCAATCGGGGATCACCAGTGGACCTCTGACACTAGGTAGCACCTCCACACCTTATACGAGTGGATGATCGAGAGCGCCTCCTTGTCGTGTATGGGATAGTTCAACTCCGCTCCCCTAAGCTTACGCGACTCGTACGCGATCGGCTGCAACCCGCGTCCCTGGTCCTGAAGAAGGACTGCACCTATGGCCTGATCTGAAGCGTCGGTCACTACAACGTACGGGCGAGTGGGATCAGGGTACGACAGTGTCGGTGAAGACGTGAGCGACTGTTTCATCTGCTCGAACGCCTGCTGCTGCGCTGGACCCCAAACGTACTCTACGCCCTTCCGAAGTAGGTCGGTGAGTGGACTAGCGATCGATGCGTAACCCTGAACGAAACGACGGTAATAGTTTGCGAAACCGAGGAAGCTCTGCAACTCCTTGACTGAGGTCGGTGCCACCCAATCCTGTACGGCTGCGATCTTCTTCGGGTCGGTCCTAACGCCACTAGCGGAAACGACGTGTCCTAGGAACTCGACCTCGGGGAGGAAGAACTCGCACTTAGACTGCTTCGCGTACAGCTTCTCCCTCCGCAAGACCTCAAAGACCTTCTGCAAGTGCTGCACGTGCTCCTCTTTCGACTTGGAGAAGATCAAGATGTCGTCTAGGTAAACTACGACGAACGAACCTAGGAACTCCGAGAGGACTGTGTTCATGAGCGTCTGAAACGTCGCTGGGGCGTTGGTCAATCCGAACGGTAGAACCCTAAACTCGTACAACCCCTGCTTCGTACGAAACGCCGTCTTGTGCTGGTCCTCTGGAACTACACGAATCTGGTGGTAACCCGAACGAAGGTCGATCTTGGAGAAGACTCTAGCGCCCTGCACTGCATCTAGGAGATCCTCTACTCTCGGCACCGGGAACCTATTCTTGACGGTGGCGGCGTTCAGTGCGCGGTAATCTATGCACATCCGTAACCCTCCGTCTTTCTTAGGCGCGAAAAGGATCGGTGCGGCCCAAGGCGATCTAGATGGCTGAATGAAACCCTGCGCGAGAAAGTGCCTAACCTGCTGCGTCATCTCCTCTGTCTCTGCTGGACTCAACCTCCACTGCGGCTTCGCTACTGGCCTGCTCCCCGGCTCTAACTCTATCCGATGGTCTACTGCTCGGCTGGGAGGTAACCCTGGGGGCAACTCGTCAGGGAAGACGTCTGCGAACTCCGCTAACAGTGCACTCACTTCAGCAGGAAGAGTCGCCTTCTCACTAACTGCTGCGCTCCCTCCTTTCCCCTCCTCAGCTTCAACCTCCTCAAGGAAAACCGCGAAGATCCGTGCCGCACGCTTCACTAACTGTCGCACACGAACAGCATTAATGATAGCTGTGGATGATGTGGCCCCATCGCTCCACTGTGGCAGCTCCCGGAACTCCCCGTCTACCTTGACACTGCAGCGTCCCTGAGCCCAATCGAACTGAGTACTAACCGTGCGTAGCCAATCTCTCCCGAAGATGAAATCGTATCCGTCCAGCGTCGCAGAGTCGAAATCACGCCTAACTGTGATCGGTCCTAGCACTACGCGCAACTTGCGAATGATCGGTCCTATGTGGAGAGGCGTCCCATCCACCATTCGAGCATCCTTGAAGTTGACTGCGGAATCTGCTTCGAGATGGAGACGACTAACTAGCGATGATGAAACGAACGGGTGGCTAGCCCCGCTATCTACGAGAATCTTAACAGGAACTCCGCGAAGCTTCCCTAGAAGCACGACTGGTCGGTCAACAGTGTCTACCGAGTTCTCCGTAGATGACTGCTGCGAGGCCGTCTCCTCTACGTTGGTAGACGTGGCGGGTACGGGAACCTCCACACCAGCTAGCGACCCGCTATCTACTGGCGGTTTCCGTTTCCCTGCTGCCGCTCCTTGAACTGTGGGCAGTCCCGCTTCATGTGTCCCGGCTTTTTGCAGTAGTGACAGTTCCCCCTAAAACCCGTCCGCTGTGAACCGTCACTGTTAACTGCACCAATCTCCATGGGCGATGGTCCGTCCCTCGATCGAGTGTCGTTGATCGGTCTGCTGTATCCCCTATCGCGATCGTCACGACCCCGTCGGCTTCGTACTGCGTCGACGCGTTCTGCTGCTGCGACTACTGACTCGAAGGTGGACAACCCGTGAATCGCTATAACCTCCGCTATGTCCGCCTTCAACCCTTCGAGGTAGCGATCGCGCATCTCTGCTTCCGTGATGTCGTCTATCTCGTTGCAGATGCTCAAGAACCGTCGTGTGTACTCCTGGACGTTTCCTATCTGTCGGAAATGACGCAGACGCTTCCTAGCAGCTTCGGAGGCGTTCACCAAATCGAACCTACTTTTCAGCGCCGCTTCAAATCCTTCCCATGTCGTCGGAACCGTGGTAACACCCAAAGCTAAACTCCCTAAGCTCGAAGTTGCAGCTGCATGCCCCACGCCCTGTTGATGCCCGTCCGTCTGAGCCCTCCGTACAGCAGTCTGCGTAAGTTGGCGCCACCACTCCAAGGCCGGCCCCCTCAACAGCGTCACGGCATACTCGATCCGCTGCTGCGCGTCCGCCTCTTGCACCCCGCTCGCGGCGAAGTAGTTGTTGAGCATGAAGAGCCACGTCCGCACGTTTGCGTCGCGTTGACTTGGGTCGAACGACTCCGGTTTCTGCGGCTTGAGCGCGCTTCGACGTTTGGGCAGCGCTTCCGCGCGTGGTGGGTGCAGGAGTTGGTGCGGCATGACCATGGGGGTTAGAAGCCAATTCACGAAGCTGTTGCATTTCAGCTCGTACCTGACGATTTTCCAACGTCAACTCTTGAAGTTGGCGCATGAGTTCGGCAAGCGTGTTGCCCATGTCGTGGGGGAGAGCGTGCATGGTTTCGTCCATGTTCGCTCGACGACTCCAAGTCTGCAAGTCGGCACCGCGGGACGATGACGTCGTAGTCTCGTCGTCGACGGTCGCTCGTTGGAAGTCGCTCCCCGCGAAGGCTCTGATACCAAGTGTTAGGCCCGACGGCCTATGTCCACTAAAGAATTAGCGGGGTCGACTAAGTCGAGGATAAACGCGGCGGAAGACTTTGGCGAAAAGACTATTGGCGAAATAGGCGAAGAAGTAACTGAGTAATTGAAGAAGAGTTGAATGAGAATTGGTTGATAATGCCAAGTACAAGAGGGGTTTATATAGCATGCAAGAAACAAGGTTGGAAAGTGGATTGTGGGACCAAGAATTGGAGTGCAAGAAAAGTAGAGTGCCACGTGGCACTAGAGAATCTGAGAAGATAAGGATAAGGGTGACTTGGAATGTACTGTTCGGAATGAACAGTAAACACCCCTCTAACAAACCTAATCACCTCTCATGCACAATCCTAACTACCTCTCTCATGCACAATCCTAACTACCTCTGTTCACACCTGCCGATAGGCCTCTCTCTCCCACAGCAGCAGCCTGAGCGGCTTTTCCATGGCCATAGTGAGTCCAAGCACCTCCCCCAACTCCACACACCCTCCTCCTCGTCCCTCCATGGCTCCAGCTGCATCCGTAGTGGTACCACTGTCGGGTGCCACAGCCATATGGAAGCGGAGCAGGAGGGCAGCGAGCATGCGAGCAGCCATGTCCACGCCCAGAGCCATGCCTGCACAGCCCCGCCGCCCACCGCCAAAGGGCAGCATGAGGAACGCGCTGGCGGGATCCCACGAAGCCGGCGTGAGGGTAGTGCTAGAGGGTGGAGCAGTGGCTGCAGTTGCCTGCATTGCCGTTTCGCGCACTACTGTTTCATGTGCTGCTGTTTCCTGCTCTGCTGTGGGCTGTGGTCGTGGTGCCATGGGGTTGGGTGAAGAGGCTCCAGATGGTGGTACTGGTACCGACCTCGTCGGCATGAAGCGCCAGGGGTCAAACTCTTGGGGACGGTCCCAGTACCTGGAGTCATGGCAGATGGCCCATGAGTTCACCAGCACCATGGTACCTGCAGGGATGCTGTGCCCGCCCAGCACAGTGCTCTCTGTGGTCTTGTGTGGCACCAGCAGCGGCGCCACGGGGTGGTGCCGCAGGGTCTCCTTGATCACCGCCTGGAGGAACGGCAAACTGGACAGGTTGGGCTGCTTGGGCTGGTTGTTACTATCTACATCGCTTTCCGCAGCCACAGGAGCAGCAGCTGCTGCACTGTAAGCAGCATCAACCTCGTCCTGCAGGCGCTTCAGTGCATAGGGATGGTTGACAAGCTCAGCCAGAGCCCACTCCACGGTTTTGGCTGTGGTGTCAGTGCCAGCTAGGATCATATCCATCACCAGCATCACCATCTCCTCCTCTTCCAGTGAGTCCTCCCCTCCCCCTGCACCCACGCCCCCTCCTACTGCTCCAGCTCCTCCGCCTCCTCCCACTCCTCCTGCACTGCATGCTTGTTGGCGCTCCAGAAGGAAGTCCACAAACACCTTGTGACTGCACGCCTTGACAGATTGCTCCTGGTGCCCCCCTGACTGTGATGACTCCTTCCCACCACCAGGAGCGTCTTGCGCATTCAGCCCTTCCTGTGCTTGCACCCCTTCATCTCCACCTGACGCTGGTCGCTGCTGCTGTTGCTGCACATCCCCTTCCATCCGTTGCTGCTGCTGCTGAACACCACAGCCATCCACTTTGTGCCTCTCCACGCCTTCCACCAGCCCACCAGCCCCACCCGCCACACCTGCCGCTTCTCCAGTGCATTCCTGCCCATGCTTCGCCATCCGTTTCAGCGCCTCCGCCCTCTCCCTGATGCATGCCCGGGCGAACCCATGCACGACCGGCTGCACCCGCCTCAGCCGCGCGTCAATGCCCTGGGGGTCCAGCCAGCGCAGCCACGGCAGGTGGTCGCTGAAATTAAACGCCCCCACCAGAAGAAACACCTCATCCACCATCGCTGCCACCCTCTCTCCCTCCTGCTCCAGCGAGGACATGCTGTTACCAGCAGTGGCACCAGCACTAGCCTCACCAGCACTAGACCTGATAACACTGGCAGCAGCAGCAGAGCCAGGTTTACCAGTGTAGTCTGTGCCATGCTCTCGACCGCTGCCACCGCCGCCGCCGCCGCCGCCGCCGCTGCTGAAGCTGTAGGGGTACCGCTTACCCACGGTGAGGTTCAGAATGTTGTTGAACGTGGCTCGACCCAAGTAGCTCCTCATGTTCACCACACACCCCCCTTCACCTCCTCCTCCGCTCATAGCAGCAGGGTGCTGGCAGCGCCGCACCTCCCCTGCAATTGCATCCACCACGGCTTGAACCTCCTCCTCTCTCTGCGCCGCGCTCGCCGCCAGCTGGCGGGCGGACAGCAGGTGCAGGAATGCGAGGCGGCGCCGCTTCTTCCACGCCTGGTCTGGCGGCGCAAACGCTATGTCCTTGCCGCCCAGGGTGAGCACGCGCGTGGACGTGACGAGCGGGCGACCGCTGAACAGCCTGTCTTGCGCTTTCAGCGCCGCGCGCGCGAGGTCCGGGGAGGAGATGACCACGCACGGGGTCGGGCCGAACCAGACGGTGAAGATCGGGCCGAACCTGTCGGTTAGATTCGCGAGGGAGCGGTGCGGGAGGGTTCCGAGGGAGGGGATGTTGCCGAGGATTGGCCAGGGCGCAGGGCCAGGGGGGTAGGAGGCGCGGATGCGGCGGCTGCGGCGGTGGAAGAGGAGTATGAGAGAGATGGAGATGCATGCTATGGTGGTGATGAGAGAAGGCAGGTCGGGAAGGAGAGGCGAGCGGGATGGCTGGGCAGAGAGGGGTGAGGCAGTCAGATTCTGCTGATGCTTCTGGAACAAGAGCGATGATGAGAAGAGAGTGGAGAAGGGTGGTTGTAGAAGAAAGGAAGGAAATGGGGAGGTGGTGTTGGTGCCGAGGCTGCGTGTATGCGCCATGGTTTCCGTCGGAGGCATTAGAAGCAGCGCACAAGGAGTAAGGGCAAGGAAGCAAGTGTGGCTAAGGAGAACCTCAGCCCAGGCAACGGGAGGAACGAGAACCGCTTTTGAAGAAGGGGAGAGAACTTGCTTGACTACATCGCTGCTCTGACGATAATGTGTATACACGGGTCACTACAGGTCACGCCGATTAACAATGGAGGAGCTCCGAGCAGCTCAGATATGCGAAGGCTCTCCAGTTGGTTGTGAGCCTCGGCCGTTCTGGGACTTCGGAAAGCTCTCACGCGGCTCGTGGCTACAGTACGGGCCATTGTGTAGTTCAGGGACGTCGGTATAGAAATGCTGTGCATGGGTTTTTTTCAAGGCGCAAGAGCTCGGCATGGATGAGTGATCGCGCTGAAGAAGGCAGGGAGAGAGCGTCACGTGATAAAGACGGAAGCGTGGTTCTTGGGCGGGATGGGATGGGGTCGGAGAAAAGGGAGAAATGGGCAGGGGCGCTGAATCGGGGAAAGATGTGCGTGTTTTGCATGCGTGCGCTGAGAAAGAGCGAATGTGTGGCACCAATCCGCGATTTGACATGCATGGGACAAAGTTTATGAGAACTCAGTGCTTATTAACTCAATAAATAATCTATATATTAGATTTTTAAAGTTATCTAAAAACATAATAGGTTGCTGAATGCTTTCCCTACGCCTATAGGGATTCACACGCTTTCTAGGCACTTGGCGGCAAAAACAGCCGAAATCGTAGGCGCCGAACTTTTCTTCGTGCAAGAACCAAGCCGGAAATGCTTTAGTATGTGTATTTGAACATGAGCCACTCGAATATGCAATAAAATTCATGTTGTTGAATGCATTTCCCTACGCCTATAGGGATTCACGCGCTTTCTAGGCACTTGGCGGCAAAAAACGGCCGAAATCGTAGGCACCGAACTTTTCTTCGCGCAAGAACCAAGCCGAAAAGGCTCTAGTATGTGTGTTTGAACATGGGCCACTGGAATATGCAATAAAATTCAGGTTGTTGAATGCTTTTCCTTACGCCTATAGGGATTCACGCGCTTTCTAGGCACTTGGCGGAAAAAACGGCCGAAATCGTAGGCGCCGAACTTTTCTTCACGCAAGAACCAAGCCGAAAGGCCCTTAGTATGTGTATTTGAACATGGTCCACTCGAATGTGCAATAAAACTAAGGTTGTTGAATGCTCTTCCCTACGCCAATAGGGAATCACGCGCTTTCTAGGCACTTGGCAGAAAAAAACGGCCGAAATCGTAGGTGCCGAACTTTTCTTCGCGCAAGAACAAAGCCGAAAAGGCTCTAAAATCAGTATTTGAACATGGGCCACTCAAATATGCAATAAAATTCAGGTTGTTGAATGCTTTTTCCTACGCCTATAGGGATTCACGTGCTTTCTAGGCACTTGGCGGCAATACCGGCCGAAATCGTAGGCGCCGAACTTTTCTTCGCGCAAGAACCAAACCGTAATGGCTCTAATATGCGTAATTGAACATGTGCTACTCGAATATGTAATAAAATTCATGTTGTTGAATGTTTTTCCCTATGCCTATAGGGATTCACGCGCTTTCTAGGCACTTGGCGGAAAAAACGGCCGAAATCGTAGGCGCCGAACTTTCAGAATCACTAGGCAAGAATGAATGAACTAGCAGAAGATTGGGTACAAATATGAAACCCTAGTTGGGGTTGTACCCCATATTGGCTACCCCACTACAGCCTACCAACATATAACACATTACAATTTAACACACCCCCATAGGCAAAGTGGGGGAGAACAAAGGGTCACAAGACCAGTCCAGCAAAGCAACGCAAGCCCAGGGTGGATCACAACGTCACCACACTCCGAGCACAAGCAAAGGCCACAAGGCCAGTTCACATGCAGTGCTAGATATAGTACAAGACAAGCAACACAGTGATCAAAACCTAGCAAGCAAGCAACAAGATATATATAAAGTACAGTACAAAGAATGTCAAGCAGTGAGCAAGTGAGGAAACGTGGACACAAGGCCTAAAGAAGTACAGTGCCGCTGATGATCACTAGGCGGGAGCGCCTTGGTGAAGATATCAGCAGTGTTGGCCTTCGAGTCCACGTACACAAGCCGAAGCTGACCTCGCTGCTGCAGCTCTCGAGCAAGAAAGTAGCGAAGAGCAATGTGCTTCGTCCTGTGCTCCAGTCTGTGCTCCTGACACAAGGCAAGGGCCGCCTTGTTGTCGCCGTACAGAACTGGAGGAGAACTAGGCCGCTCTCCCAAGTCAGTCAGCAGGTAGGTGAGCCAGCGTAACTCCTGTGCAGCCATGGCCGTGGCGTAGATCTCAGCCTCACAACTAGAGCTGAGAACAGAAGAAGAACGGGTGGACCGCCACGAGACAGAACCAGAGCCAAGGCTGAAGGTGTAACCCTGTGACGACCGCTGCGTAGCCAGGTCGTCCACCCAAGAAGCGTCCGAGTGGCCAGTGAGGACAACTCTGTCGTGTCCTCCAAGCACCAGCCCCATGCCTGATGTACTGCACAAGTAGCGCAGCACCCTCTTAGCAGCCTCCCAGTGCTCTCGCCTGTGTCTCCCAGGCGCAACGTAACGAGCAAGGATGCTAAGAGGGTACGCGAGGTCAGGTCGCGTGCAAGTCATCAGGTACATGAGGCAGCCCACAAGCTCTGGGTACGGGCCACTCGGCTCTACGGACTCGTCCGGAGGTGGAGCTGAGAGCGAGTGGCTGGTAGCCAGAGGTGTGGCCTGTGGTGAGGAGAACTGGAAGCCGAAGCGCTGAAGGACCTGCTGCACCATGTGTGACTGAGTCAGGGTGATGGTGCGGCGAGCTCTGTCCCGGGTGATCTGCAAGCCAAGGTAGCTACGCAGCTCACCCAGGTCAGTGCAGGTGTGTCTCTTCTGCAGCTCCGACTTCACACGAGCGAGTGCCTCAGTGTCAGCAGTAGCAAAGACCAAGTCGTCGACGTACACGAGAATGTAGAACGGCGGCAGCGACGTGTCTGTGCGCAGAAACAGCGACGGGTCAGCAGTAGACGGCGCGAACCCAAGAGCCGCAAGTGTAGTCCTCAGTGTGTCGTGCCACTCGCGTGGCGCCTGGCGGAGACCGTAGACTGGCCGGCGGAGGCTCCACTGGGTACCAGGAGGAAACGACCCAGTAAAGCCAGGTGGGCGGCGCAGCCAGATCTCCTCGTGCAGGCTGCCCTGCAGGAACGCTGTGCTGAAGTCAAGAGAGTGAAGCTCGTAGTCACGCTGAGCAGCAACGTGCAGCAGAACCCGAAGAGTGGTCATCTTCGGGGTGGGGGAGAAGGTCTGGAAGAAGTCGACCCCCTGACGCTGACTGAAGCCTCTAGCAACGTAACGAGCCTTGAAGATAGGCGGAGAACCTGGCGGCCGCTTCACCCTGAAAATCCACATGCCATCGACGATGTTCGCCCCAGGAGGGGGAACCTCGTCGATGTAGGTGCCTGTGGACTTCCAGGATGCCATCTCTGCGTCCATGGCTGTCTGCCACTGAGAGGAGTAGGGACCCGAGATCGCCTCTGCGTAAGAGCGCGGAGTGGGGATGTCTAGTGCATCCGGGTCTCCCTCAGGGGCAAGTAACCAGGCCACGAGATGAGGTACAGCAGCCGCGAGAGAGTCAAAGTCCTCCTGCCTGTCCTCAAGGACGTCCGTGCCAAGAGCACACTCACCCCCGACGGACGGAGGACAGACAGACGCAGACTCAGACCCAGCAACAAGGCGAGCAGCGTAGTCTAGACGACAGGCAGCAGCAAAGTCAACCAACTCAGCGACGAGAGCAGACGCAGCCGAGGACTCAAAGGTAGGGTCAGTGACAACAGTAGCTAGGAGACGCGTGACAGTAGGGTGCTCAGCACGATACCGGTCAGACTCAGGGTCCGGAACAGCAGGCAAAGAGGACGCAGGAGGAGACGGCAGAGGGACACGCTGAGGAGCAGTAGAAGGACGCAGAGTCATGTAGTGAGTGCCTGGGACAGGAGGAGGACGCTCACGACGGACACGACGACCAGTGCGAGCAGTACGGACAGGCGACGCAGGACGAGACTCAGGCTCACGACGCTCTGTAAGACCTCCTGTGGGACCAGTGTAAGGAGAGGGAGCAGGGAGAGGCGAGGCAGGCGGTAACTGTGACTGCGGCTGGACAGGCGGAGGACACTCTACGGAGGGAGGAGGACAAGGAGGAGGAGCCTGCCCAAGAACCTGCTGAAGGAGCGGTACGAAGTACGGCCGCGGCCGCGCAGCGTCTCCAGAAGCAGAAGAGACTCCAGCGTCCGGGTCCCCAGCACCAGCAGCAGCGCCACCGCTCGGGTCCTCAGCTCCAGCAGCAGCTCCACCAGGTGGGTCCGCAGCACCAGCAGCAGCAGCACCCCCAGGGTCGGCAGCTACAACTCCGCTAGCGCCGCCAGCTCCAGAGTCCCCAGCTCCAGCAGCTCCAGTCGTAGTGCGCCCAGAACAACCAGTCCCGGCAGCTCCAGTACCCCCAGCTCCAGCCGAGCCACTAGGACGGCGAAAGCGCCGGACGTACCAGTCACGAAGCTGCTGTGGTGTGAGAGACTGCTCAGCACCCCGAACCGGAGCACCCCCAGACGCAGTAACCCGAGGCTCCGTAGGCTCAGTAGCAGCACCCCCAGGCTCAGTACCCGCAGGCGCAGCACCCCCAGACTCAGCACCCCCAGACTCCGCACACGCCGGCTCAGGACCCCCAGTCGCAGCACCCCCAGGCTCAGCACCCCCAGGCGCCGAACTCTCAGGCACAGTACCCTCAGCTCCAGCACCCGTAGTCCCAGCACCCCCAGGCCCAGCACCCGCAGGCTCAGCACTCCCAGCAGCACCACCTGCAGCAGCACCTGAGTCACCTGTGACCTCGACAGGCTCAGCGACGGGAGGAGGGTCTACCTGAGAGACACCTGAAGGAGCAGGACCCTGAGGGGGAAGGGGGTCTACCGGAGGGGGACCAGGAGCAAGGAAAAGCGGCGGGGGAGGG